CTATTTGTATACGGGACTTGGCGAAATTAAAACGTCAATAAACTCTTTTTTAGTCTAAATTCCACAAAAACCGTTCTAACTGGTTGCTATACTATAGTTTACTCAATATAATAATAATAATTGCTTACATTTGTTTCCACACATTTTAAGAGCGATAAAAACTAATCGAGGACGTGGCATTTGTTAAAAAAAACATCTATACTTGTACATAGTATTGATTTGAATTTGGTTACATCCATTGCGAAACAATTATTCGTTAATTTTTAATGAAAACTATTTGTTTTAGTATTGTTTAGTATTCCTAAACAAGCTCTCCCAATGCTACATTCTATTAGCAACGCTTATATCATACTAATAGAGATATTATTCATAGTTCCTTATGCTTATTATAGAAATTCCGCTTATAATTTACAATAAAACGTAGAAATATCTATATTTAATATTTTTAAATATTTGTTTAATATTTGAATTTATTGAAGTTTTTAGTGTGTATTGTAGCCGATTTACTTTTAATAGATCCTCAGAAGTGGTAACAAGTCTGATTGGTGGATTATTCGAACCTATTCGGTTAAGCGGCGCTGTATGTGTACCTCTCTGAACGTCTGAATGTGTGCAAGGGTGTGTAGTATGAGTGACAAATATAAATAATGCCTTTTACTCGACATGACGGCGACTCGCCTTAGACTGTTTTGGACGCCTTAAATAGCTTAAATAACTGAAAGTTGCCGCTGTTTGCTTGTCGCCTTGCAATAACTTTGACTCAAGTGGTGCTTCGCCTGAGGTGTGTGTAGTATAATATTAAAAGAACAAGTTGATGCAACACTTTGACATTGGCTTTAAGCTGAACAGTGTCGCTGTCAAACATTTTAGCTGCTTTCCACAGTTTTAAGTAGCAAGTGTGCAATTGGAGTCTTCTTTGGTGCAAATGGTCCTTAATTTTTGGGGCCCCACATGATGTGTGTATGCTGCAAGCTCAGATAATGCTTAATGGCATCTTTATGGCACCAGATAAGCTGGCTGCAGCTTAACGGCTCTTTTATGTTTCCCCTTTCTTTTGCAGCACCACAAGTTATTTAAGTGCCTGCTTCTTTCAAATTGTAACACTAATACTGAGCGATAAGGGCGGAATAAGAAAAGAGTTTCTTACGCATGTGTATTGCAATCTGTTATTTGTAATTAGGCTCAGACTTAAAGCTTTTTATGTTAGTTTCTAAGGCATGTGTATTGCAATCTGTTCTTTGTTGACGTAATTAAAATTTTTATGTGAAACATGCTATATGTTTATGCAAAATGTGAGACATACCTAAAATAAAATGGCTGTCATCCATTATGTAATATTAAATGCAAAAATACAAACTATTTATTAAATAATTTAAATGTTTACCTTAGCAACTGCTTTCATTGAAATGATTCATCAAATTCTACGTAGTTTAAAACCTTAAAGCTATGCATTTTTTATTATCGGCTGCCAATAAACTTTAACACCTAACTTTAAAATTTCTCTGCTATGCTGATGTTCACCTCAAGCAATTCGAAAGTAAATCGACAGTTTCCCAGAGGGAACAACATCCGCCTCACTACGCATGCTTTTAGTATAAAGAACAGTTTGCAAAGAGTATGATAGTTTTAAGACTGTTGTTTGTAACGCTTAGGTAAGTAGTACGCACGAATGCTATATGACACCGAAAACTTTGTTTTTTTAAGTAAATTGAATTTCTGTCTAAAAAGAAATCAAATTGTGCCCATGCAGGAGGAAGAGAATCACACCATAATTTCTAAAACTGACATGAACGTGATTATTTTTTTCTCCTATCTAAAAATGCAGATTATAATACGACTAGCAGGTTGCTTTTAGAGTAATATTGCTCATTACATCAAATCCTGGAACTTACAACAATTAAAAACGAAATTAAATATTTAAACTAATATATTTCCGCTTCTTTCACAAAATAAGCTAATAAATAACATTAATTGAATGACTATAATAAAAATAATAACTTAACAGATGTTCTAAGAGTACAATTTTTTAAGGAAACTTGATCAGCATTTGATGCACTTGTCGTTTGACTACAAATGCTAATCCTGCTGCCTGCGAATTTTGTTTCGTTACCACAATTTTAAATGCAATTTTTATGTAGCACTTGTCCCACGACCTTCCGCCCACAGTAAAGTGAAATTAAGTTGTTGGCATAAAAAGTTGTGTGCTCAATAATGCTGATGAGGTTGGCCATCGTCATAAAAATGCAAAAATGCTGTTAGGCGCGCCAAAATGAAGTTCATGGGGGGTTGGGGGTATTCTGCAATCAGCAGTACCGCGCAGCCCAATGCGACGATGCAATCAACGCCCAGATTTGTCAACTGCGGGCATAAATAAACGCAATGCAAACTTATTGAGATGAATGCAGTAGAAACGTTCGCTTAATTCACTATAAAAAGTTCAAGGTAGCGTCATTCGCTGATTGTGTATTCGCCTCGGTTTAACGATGGCCTGGAAAATATATTATGTAAATTATAGACGAGGGTGCCCGACCATACTTTTAATCCATTACCACATAATAATGGTTATTGGTATGAATATTGAATAATAAAAATATGTTTGTTTGGATAACTAAGTGCTTGGTTTGCTTCCTAAAAGTTATGTATTTCCTGTAAAATAAAATAATGCTTAACATTGATACTCTGAATGCATTATAAATTTGTTTTAACAATTAACAAAGCCCGAATTGTGTCATTTGATATGCTATTTAAGAAGGATTCTTTTTTTATTTCCTTTCTAAACTTTTTATTCCTAAGAGAAAATACTGACATTAAACTGGTAAAGAACATAACATTGAAAAATGAATTTCTTATTGAGCCTTGAGGCTTGAAAAAACATATGTACTTATGTGCATAATAGCACAACTTAGAATGCTTTTATTCTAGACATAAGATTGAAAAAAAATGATGCTGGAAACAATTTCGTGCAATGCCTAAGCTCTAAAGAGAATTAGTAATGTCGAACAATTTAAAAACATTAAGAAAAATCAAATGAAAGTACACAAAAAAGTTTACAATTTAATTATGCAGTACACAGCATTCATGTTTGGTTTCCGTATTTTTGTTGGGATTCTGTATTTTTTTACAAAATATTAACTCAAACAGCACAAAATGCAATAAAAATGCAATTAAATTAGCCGCAGGGCAGCGGGCCATAAAAAACCAAGCGAAGCACTCACAAGCCACAGCCAGAGCGCGAACAAAAATTGAATTGAAGGGCCGTTCAGTCCTTCACAGGCCTCACTGCACACAATGCTGGCCAAAAAGCAAAGCCGACAATAATTGAAAATTGAAAATTAAATTTAAATGCCAGCATGGCCAGAACAATACAACTGCCATTTATGCAAATTGAATGCTGAGAAGGTTAAGGAATCAATCAAAACGCATCTTAACCTGAATGAGTACTCCGCCTTCTGGAAGCTTTGTGAGGCATATTAATTGCTTTAGCCACACAAATGAATAAATGAATGTGAATGAAGAAAGAACTGTGTTAGAACAAATGGACAAATCTGCCTACCATATGCATTCTACATCAGCAAATATGGAATATATATGTGGTACAATGTGAAGGAACCCAAATAATACAATCAGCATCAGAATCACAAATCCAATTAAAGACCATGACTATCTGAATTGTGCCTTCACCTATTTGTTATAAGCCCATTCCTTAGACAGTAAACCCTGCGAAGTGGGGTATCTCTATTAATAAGTTAGTTACTCATTAACAAAAAAAAATATCTTGCGAAAATAAGCAAGGTGATGGCATCTTATATACTATCGTTGAGTGTGGCCTTATGGATATATAATATCGGTACATAATAAACCAACACCTCTCAGTTAATGGAATCTGATTAAAGAAACGGGTTTATGCTACATGAAATATTCCCGTATTTGAACAAGCGTGGAAAAATCGAAAAATAATACAAAATTGACAAACATAGAACCTCTACACCTTTAGACCAAATCTTATCATGGAGACAAAACAAAGAGAATCAGTAAACATCTATTTTGCTGCATTTATTGAATTATGGCTTTAATTATTGCACAAGTGTAGCAGAGTTAGTATAATGTTATTTATATTATAGTAGAGTGCCCATAAGCTACGATTGGGAGTGTAAGATACCATATATAAGTAGATTTCAAATAACATTTATTTGTTATTGTATTTATATTATCTGCGGCCAATGTAAGCAGGGTTTACTGCCTAAAGCAAATGTGTGTTCAACAAAGTGAAAACTTCATGAAATACCAGCAATTTGACAAGCACACAAACACTTACAATGGCAGTGGCAATAAACAAACTAATCATATCCTGCAGACGCTTACAAAATCTTTAAAACTCTACCAGACCAAACGGCCCGTTCTCTTCGGTTCGCCTGGCATGCTAACCCATTGAAGCGATGGTTTTATGCAAATGCACAAGTCTTCAACCAAGTTCAAAATACAAAAACTTTGCAAGCAAATAAACAAAGGTCAGTAGCTTCTATTCTAGTCGACTAAAGCAGCCTCCAAATGTAGAGGAGGCGCCCTTAAGTTAGCTGCCGTTGTTGATGCTGTTTCCCTTCTAGCATAAAATTGAAATGCAAATTAAACTAAAGGTAAAACTATAAGATTGGCAAGTACCAGAGCAGAGCCAGTCGAATATAAATATTTATAAGTACAAGGACATATGTATGTCTGTACATACGTATATGAAATATTTTTAAGCGTAAAGTTCAAAGTCCAAGAATACGATGGGGTCATGGGGCAATGAGGGCCATGTTTCTAATCTCAGCAATTGAAAAAGCACATCAACCCACAAAAGGCAGTGCTTATAATTTAATGGAAAACTATCTGAAAAACCGCAGTTTTTTTGAGATATTACAAATCGCAAAACCAAAAGCAACAAAGTGAAAAAACCGCAGACATCAAAAGGATTTTGCGGTTGCCATTGCATGGCAATAAAGTGTATAGAGGTTACTTACTGCCATCACTGTGGGCCACGCCTTCTCGCAGCAGAAAATATCGCAGACCCTCCATCGTATACTGCTTAGCCGCCTCCACTGGATCTACTACATTGTGTTTACTCTTCGACATCTTTTGACCGTCGACGGTCCAGTGTGAGTGCACGTAAAGCTGGCGAGGGGGTGGCAGGCCAGCGGCAATCAGAAAGGCAGGCCAGTAAATGCCATGAAATTTCAGTATATCTTTGCCAATAATTTGCTGGGCAGGTGGCCAGTGCACACGATACTGTAATTTATAGTAAAAAGAGAATTTATTAGAATCGAATAATTCACCATTACGCTAGCTTAAGGCCCACCTGCTCATCTGGATAGCCTACAGAGCTGAGGTAATTGATCAGCGCATCAAGCCACACGTATACGGTTTGCGTCTCATCATCCGGCACAGGTATGGCCCAATGCACGCGACTCGAGGGACGCGATACCGACACATCCGGTAGTTGTTCACTAAGAGTATCGAGCAAAATCTTTTCAAATTTTATCGGTCGAATGCGACCTTCCTGTTTCACCCAATGGCGCACGTCATCTTGAAAACGGGACAAGCGGAACATGTAATTTGTCTCCTCGGTCCATTCGACAGGATGGCCTGACTCAAGCGAGTAGCGCGTCCCTGTAGTTTCGTCCAGCCGTAGCTGCGAGTCTGTTAGAAACGTTTCATCGGACACGCAGTACCAACCACTGTAGGCAGCTGAATATATATGCCCACGTGATTCCAGAGTGCGCTGTGGAAGATAAATATATAAAATATGTGTATGTAGATCATCCAATAACCATTTGCTTACCCAAAAGTGCGCCACAGCCTTTTTATGCCGCTGCTCAGTGGTGCGTATGAAATCATCGTGGGCTATATGCGCCGTCTTGAAAACGTTACGATAGCGTTCAGATATATCGTCGCAATACTGAGCCACCGGCGCATTATTCGCTGCAGCCGCCTGTTGAATCTTTGTGCCATGCTCATCCGTGCCGGTGCAAAGGCGCACGGAGCTGCGACTTTCATCTGGTTGTAGCAGCCGTCGATAGCGACAATGAGCATCTGCTATAACGGCCGAGTATAGATGGCCTATGTGTGGTGCTACAAAAATACGAATAAAAGTTGTTATTCAACTCTTTTGAGCCTCAGCTGCTTACCGGCGTTTACGTAAAAAATCGGTGTTGTAACATAATGCGAACTGCTTAAACGAACGCCCAGTCTCCTTAAAACGCGTATTTTATTAATTAGCATAGTTCTTATAAATCATTTACTTAAAATGCAGTTAAATATAAACATAAATAACACTTTGTGTGCACAATAACGAAAGGGCGAACAACTGATTTCGCAGCACAGCTGTTATTAAGTGCTACCCATTGTTTGGTAACACTGTTTCGATTGGCCGAACGATTGGCGGTCGTTGCACAAATTTGAATTTCTTTTTATTCAAATAGAATTCAATCAAATGAAATGAAGGTAATCTCATTTCTACTGAGTGATGTATTAAGAGCTGGTGGCTCGCCTGTGTAGTAAAATATTAATACTCTTGCAAAAAAATATAAGATCCAATTTAGCTTTAAAATATTGTGTCAGCTATTGAAACACGTACACATTTTATTAAAATTGGTTGAAAATACATTTTAAGAACAGTTTTTTTTGTGTGTGTGCTATGAGTGTATTACAATTTGAAATCTCGATCGCTTCCCGCCGTGAGTTTAAAAACAATAAATAATACTTATGCAACTATAAATCTGGAAAGCGAAGAAAATTAATTATGGAATTGCAATAGCCTGTATGGCAAAAGTACGCCGCATAAACATAATTTCCAAGACTAATATCAGAGCTGCCAAACAATTCATGATTAACAGACATATAAAAGCTATGGCCAAATGCTGAATACCAGCCGATTCATATTCATTATGTTCCTGTAAGCGCTCCACAAACCGAGCACGTACGGCGCTTTCAAAGCTGGCGCGTTCATAGTAATAAAGCAATCCCGATGAATGTGAACGAAAGGTATAGTACTCCAGATCGCGCCACAGACTTGAATCTACTACAATTGGATAGGCCAGATGGTAGGATCCAAAGCATATGTTGCTCAACTTGAAGCGTTGCTGCTTCAAATGCTTCTGTTGTTGGTCCAGAAAATGCCAATGGTCGTCGGTGACAAAGTAACCATAGGAGCTATTGAAACCACTCTGATGATGTACAAACGTGGCACTGTCCACCGGCAACAATAGATCCCGAAAATCATCTGGCAGCTCTTTGTTCTCACTCAACAGAAACTCAAGCTCATAATCGATGATCATCACAGGCAGCTTAGCTCGAACGATATCCTCCAGAGTGTTGAGTTGAGCATGAAAAAGATTCACAGTCAAGATGCTGCCCAATGTAGATGTATAATTGACCGACAGAAAGAACCCATGAAAGAAAACCGTCAGGAGCAGAAGAAAACGCAACGGTGTGGGTCTCTGAAGTTGATTTGTAGCGGTCACATTGATGATGTAGCAGAAGGAGTTCAGAAGAGCAGAATGGCGGCTTCCAGTTCTAAAAAGGTGGTGCCATAGCAGCTCCAGCAGGACCAGAGATACGAATGCACCCACAACAAATAACCAGACGATCCAAGAGAACGGCTGCAGTGGATATAAGTAAGTAGAAACACTGTTATACAGTGGCACCATGAGACACCATTGTACGACGAGGAGGGGGTAGCTCTTCTCCAGCTCATCGTCTGCCCGAAAAAGTGCGTATGCGTGGGCAGAAAATTCAACTTTGCGCTCCCGTACCAGCTGAAGCACCTGTTTCATATTCACGACCTCCCCGCCCAGCTCATCCGGTGGCATTGGGAGCTCCTTAAAACTGCCATTGAGATGCTGCATAAAGGTGGCAATGATGTTATAGGTGGTGCCCTCATAGTGCATGCCAATTCCGCGCCTTCGAAATTTAAACAGATGAGGCAGATCTTGACGAAGTGGGGTGGGAAAACGGAAACCACCAACATTTGTGCCGCTGTTCAGTTCTTTGAATGAACGACGGAAAAAAGCAAAAATATCGGTACGGTTTTCAAAAAACATTTCCGGGTACTTCCTTACGCCAAATATGTGATTAGTACCATCAGTAAGCTGAAAGTAGAGTAGAGTGTTCACAAATTGATAGTCGTATAAAAATCGACAGACATCGTAGACAGGCTGCATGTCGCCTATCTTATCGACCAGTATGATCACGGAGAAATAGAAGTGTCGGCCGGTTAGGACCTTTCGGTAAACCTCCATTATGGGATCCTTAATACCAATCGTAAATACAATGCTGATATGAATTCGTTTGACTGGAGAACGTATAACTCTCATATTACTATTGTTGGTCACTACGGTCTGCGTCGCGAAAAATACCTCATCCGTTTTTCGTATAAATTCATCCATCTCCTTTACATGTTCCGTACGCAGCTCGAGGCTGATAAACCACACTATATCCTGTGCCGCTATAGGTGCAGTGAGTGGACCTAACATGCGATATAGATACTGCATACTCCATGCGTTATTATAGCCTAGAGCGCACAGGGCAAGTAGCAAGAAACTCCAATGCATGGCGACGACTGTATTCAGACAGTGTGGCGTATGCGTAATTAAAACGATTTGTTGTCTGAACTCGGTTGCAGGGCCCAATGAAGCAAGTTGGGTGTGGGAAATTACCATGGGATTACAAGTGCTTTGTTCCTTGGGGCTAATGTTACAATGTTTTTATTTTGTAATGGGTCTTAACCCCTCTCCATACAGTGAGGGGAAGTAAAAAGTATAAACAGTACAACATTTCAAAAAGCATTTTTTATTACGCATGAAGATTAATAAATTAATAAATAACGAATACCCATTATTTGGTACCACTATTTCAAATGCCTGAACGTTCGTTGATGATGGCGTTCGTTGCACAAATTTAAATGAAAATGAATAGAAATGAAATGAAATAAAATTTAGCAGGCGTCCTTTCTGCTGAGTGATGTATTTAGAGCTGGTGCCTCGACTTTTAAGCAATAGTGGTGTTAGGTTATATTTCTTATATTCTTCAAAAAACAAAACCAAACTCTAATATTAATACAAAATCTTTTACCAGTTATTAAAAACGTATACATTTTATTAAAAATGGGAAAAATTGTTGAAAATACCTTTTTTTTTGTGGGCTGTGATTGTATTGAAATTTTTAATCTCGGTCGCTTCTCGTCGTGAGTACAAATACAAAAAGTAATACTTATGCAAATATAAATCTGGAAAATGGTGTCGCGAAATGTGCAAGCAAAGAACCTTAATTATGGAGTAATAACCTGTATGGCAAAAGTACGCTGCTCAAACATAATTTCCAAAACCAATATCAGAGCTGCCAAACAATTCATGATTAACAGACATATAAAGGCTATGGCCAAATGCTGAAGACCAGCCGATTCATATTCATTATGTTCCTGTAAGCGCTCCACAAACCGAGCACGTACGGCGCTTTCAAAGCTGGCGCGTTCATAGTAATAAAGCAATCCCGATGAATGTGAACGAAAGGTATAGTACTCCAGATCGCGCCACAGACTTGAATCTACTACAATTGGATAGGCCAGATGGTAGGATCCAAAGCATATGTTGCTCAACTTGAAGCGTTGCTGCTTCAAATGCTTCTGTTGTTGGTCCAGAAAATGCCAATGGTCGTCGGTGACAAAGTAACCATAGGAGCTATTGAAACCACTCTGATGATGTACAAACGTGGCACTGTCCACCGGCAACAATAGATCCCGAAAATCATCTGGCAGCTCTTTGTTCTCACTCAACAGAAACTCAAGCTCATAATCGATGATCATCACAGGCAGCTTAGCTCGAACGATATCCTCCAGAGTGTTGAGTTGAGCATGAAAAAGATTCACAGTCAAGATGCTGCCCAATGTAGATGTATAATTGACCGACAGAAAGAACCCATGAAAGAAAACCGTCAGGAGCAGAAGAAAACGCAACGGTGTGGGTCTCTGAAGTTGATTTGTAGCGGTCACATTGATGATGTAGCAGAAGGAGTTCAGAAGAGCAGAATGGCGGCTTCCAGTTCTAAAAAGGTGGTGCCATAGCAGCTCCAGCAGGACCAGAGATACGAATGCACCCACAACAAATAACCAGACGATCCAAGAGAACGGCTGCAGTGGATATAAGTAAGTAGAAACACTGTTATACAGTGGCACCATGAGACACCATTGTACGACGAGGAGGGGGTAGCTCTTCTCCAGCTCATCGTCTGCCCGAAAAAGTGCGTATGCGTGGGCAGAAAATTCAACTTTGCGCTCCCGTACCAGCTGGAGGACTTGTTTCATATTCACGACCTCCCCACCCAGCTCATCCGGTGGCATTGGGAGCTCCTTAAAACTGCCATTGAGATGCTGCATAAAGGTGGCAATGATGTTATAGGTAGTGCCCTCATAGTGCATGCCACCTCCGCGCCTTCGAAATTTAAACAGATGAGGCAGATCCTGACGAAGTGGGGTGTGAAAACGGAAGCCACCAACATTTGTGCCGCTGTTCAGTTCTTTGTATTTTTGACGGAAAAAGGCATAAAGATCGGTACGATTATCAAATCGCATTTCCGGATAAATGCTAGCGCCAAAAAGCTGATTTATTCCATCCGTGGACTGAAAGTAAAGCAGCGTGTTTATAAATTGATAGTCGTATAAAAATTGACAGACATCGTAGACAGACTGCATGTCGCCTATCTTATCGACCAGTATGATCGTGGAGAAATAGAAGTGTCGGCCGGTTAGGACCTTTCGGTAAACCTCCATTATGGGATCCTTAATACCAATTGTAAATACAATGCTGGCATGATTGCGTTTGGCCGGGGCACGTATCATTCGCATATTACTATTGTTGGTCACCACGGTCTGCGTCACGGAAAATGCCTCATCCGTTTTTCGTATAAATTCATCCATCTCCTTTACGTGTTCCGTACGCAGCTCGAGGCTGATAAACCAGACTATCTCCTGGGCCCCCATCAGTGAACTGAGTGGACTCAATATGCCGTATATATACTGCATACTCCATGCGTTATTATAGCCTAGGGCGCAGAGGACTAGCAGCAAGAAACTCCAATGCATGGCGACGACTGTATTCGGACAGCGTTGCGTATGCGTAATTTAAACGATTTGTTGCCTGAACTCGTCTGTCTAATGAAACTAGTTGGGTGTGAGAAAATACCATGGGATTACAAGTGATTGGGTTCTTGGAACAAATGTTACAATATTTTTTTAATCTAATGGGTCTTTACCCCTCATTATGCAGTACGGTAAAGAAAAAGTAATAGTGTAGAGTGGCATACATTTCAAAGCGCATATTTAATTGCCCATGAACAGAATATTTATTAAACTTTTAGTTTCGAAAAATATAAAATAATAGTTGTCATGTCGAAACAGCTTTCTGTTTCTGGAAACGAATATTAATGTACAATTTGTAAACAAATTGGATTATAGATTATGAAAAATCTGCCAATGTTTTCAATAACAGTAGCTGCTTTTAAGTGAATAGCAAAGCTTCCATCCCTTAGCCACCTAGGCTATATCTGCATTAAAAATATTTCTTTTTACTTTCCAACACAGATGTTTACTAGACATTTATGTTTTAAAGAAAAAAAAAACTATCCATACAACAATATTTGTTTAATCGTTGGTGGTAGGCACATTTTTATAAGAGTTAAACTCTATTTTGAAAAATGTATTTGAAATTCTGAACAAAGTTCTATTGTAATGTATTAAATGTAAGTAATGTATTATCTATTCCTATCTATTTTTAACGTTAAAAACCGTAAAACGTTCAAAATGTACTTATTTGGTCGAGCTTTGTGGAATTTTCCAAAAATGTAGATGTTTTCCCGCGGCTAATGCTATGTAATTAGAATTCGGGTACCACGCTACGCCGCCATAGTAGTTCATTGAAAAAGTAAGCAATATCTCATTAGACTGATTGCGAACAACATAAAGTGTTTTTCCAGGCTTTCCAACACTGGCAATCATGATATCAGCACAATTTTTTCGAAAGCGCACATCGATGCCGTCCGTGTCATGTATCTTCTTGGCATTGAGTGGCCTTGAGGGATTCCCAACGTCCCAAATGTATGTTGAGCCACCGGCAAGTGCTGCCAAAAGGAGAACCTTCTCTCCTCGAAGATGCCAGTCAATGGAAGTAAGCGGACCTGTTGGTGTCTGAATAAGCCGTGTGGATTCTTTGGTGCGCAAATTAAATATTTGTATGGCGCCTTTCTTTTCGGCCACAATCACCAAATTACTGTCAGTCGGGTGGGACATTACGGCCGTGCCCTCAGAGCTCAATCGGAATCGGCCGACGTTTTCGTCGCCACTGGCGGCATTCAAATCCCAAACCACACAACAACAATCGTCGCTGACCGAGGCCAGCATGTCACCACCGCACGCCCAAGCAACGTCGTTAATGAACCATGTATGGCCTCCTTTCAAATGCTGAATGGTGGTGTTGGATTTTAGATCGGTGTAGAAAACTGAAAGATTCATCAACCCATGAGGCGCAGCCAATTTCACTTTATAGGGAATCCTTGCGAGCGAAGTGTCTGGAGAAAATTTTAAAGCGTGACAACGTGCCCCATCATCACTTAATATCATCGAGGCCACATCAATTAAATTGATATCTTCGCCAATATTCTGCGGTAGCTCGATCCATTGCAGGCGCAATTCCAGCTCGAGTGCAACGCAAAATATATCCTTGCCGAATGGATTATGGAATATGGCGAAAGCATTGATTACCTCTTTATACGAATAGCTATGGTGAGAGCGCGTTTCATTTTCCATTTCAATAAGATATCTGTGATTGGAATAAATGAGAAAATCGGAATGGCAGTGTTGGATTAATCACTTAATTCTTACACAAAATGGAGATAGTAGATATGCGAAGCACGGCGAACTCGAACAACCAAAAGGCGAATGAAAAACAGTTGTCTTACCGTCATGTGCAAGTGACAGCAAAGCTCTCTTTTGATGGAATGACATTTATGGCAGACTTCGTTTTCCAACACTAATGTCCGAATAGCACTAATAATACTTTTCGATGGGAACGGATAATCAATTAGTTAAGAAAATCATTTACATTTATCGCGCTCTCCTGATTTCGAAATTACAAAAGGGATTATCACTTATATTTATGCATGTGTTTATAGAGCTTAATTTTATATACATAATTAAGAACAAAACGTGATAAAGTAAAAGTAATTATTAACATTTTTGTCGACAAAAATCTTACGTGATTTCAGTGTTTTCTATTCTTTTTTCTCGTTATATCGGAGCGAGCTTAAAAAAAAACAAGTAAAAAAGCTAAAGTCGGGTGTCCCGACTTTGAAATACTTTGTACATATGTTTAGAATAATTAAAGAAATTAGAAAAGTAGAGAATTCACAAAAATATTTTTGATCGATTTTACCTCTTTTGGTATTCGAACTCACGTAAAGGGTGTATAATTGCACATATACAAAGCAATTGCGTCTATGTGAGTGTATGTATGTATATGCTCGTATATTCGTGTCTGTAAGCATGTTCGCAGTCAACCAAATATATTTATGGCTATAACTTCTTGTTAAATCGGTCTATCATGATGAAACTTGGCACACGGACACATAATTACTAACTGGGGGTATTTCCCGAATTTAAGTTTTAAGTAATTCCAAGAATTAGGCTAGATCGGCTGGTCTCGTCATGCTGATCAAGAATATATATACTTTGTGGAGTCTGTCACGCCCCCTTCTGCCTGTTACATTTTCAGCTCCCGCAAACCTAATATACTCTTGTACATTTTATGTACGCCTCCTTCTGTGTGTTACATACATTCGCACAAAACTCGTATAGCCTTAAATTTATAATTGTCCTTTATCGGGCTTAGAATCTTGATAACAAGTTTGGTTATTCTAACTCTTATACTTTTTGAGATCCCTGTGGTCATATAGAAGGACGCACAGACGGATATATGAATGAAATCGTAGAATTGAAGTTGTAGATTTGAAGTTGTAGATTTGAAATTGTAGATCTAAAATTGTATATTTGAAAATATACCTACATATATGTACATATATGTAAAATGTATGTAAAATACCAAATCCAGATCCAGGAGTGAAGACTTCATCCGCTTCAACAGTTCGCCAGAATCTGGCAATTTATTTAAAATAACGAAATGCAAACTACATCTAAGAAATATATAAGAAACCATTGAAAAACGTAGAAGGATTAGAACTTGGCACCGCTCGCAAATTTCGGAGGTTTTCTGAAATATCGCCTGAAATAGGCCATTCGACGTGACCTGCTGGCCTTCTGCTTGGCCTCGACGGCTGCACAAGCAGCCTTGTAGGCCGCCTGTTTGGTTTTCTCAAAGTCCTGGCGGGCATCCACGAGCTGGCGTGAAAGACCATCCACTCGATTTTTGGCCGCTTCGAGAAGTTGTGTCTTCTCGGCCAATTCCTGTTGGGCGCCATTCGCGACGTTCTCGATGTTGCCCAGATTGGCGGTGCAGGCGGCTACCAATCGCTTTAACTGATTCAGTTGATTTTGGGCTTCTTGGGCGGCCTGTGAGGCAGCGTTGGCATTGGCTTGTGTGTTCTGCAATGAGGCAGTGACCTCGGTGACCACGGCATCCGCTTCGGTCATTTCCTGTTGCAGTTGCTCCACAATTTGTTGCTTACCCGCCAGTGCTGCCTCTGCGGCACGTGCGGATTGTGCCGCCTTCTCGGCCAGCTCCGTTTTGACTTGTGTGGCGGCGGCTTCGGCAGCGGCCATTTGTGCATCGCTAGCCGCCTTGGCCTCCTGCGCCGCTTTCTGGGCAATATTTGAGGCTTTTGCTTTTGGATCGCCCTTGCCCAACGTACTGCCGCATGATTTCTTATCAGAACCTTCGCAACCGGCACCTGCTCCACCAGAACCACCGGAACCACCAGAGCTGCTGCTGTCTCCGTATAAATTGGCTATGCACTGATCGTCGTAGCCCTTTGCACGAGGTGCTTTGTAGTTGAAGCCTTCCAGTTGAGAAATCGCTAGCAGGAATACAAGAAATATGAGCGAAACTTTCCGGCTATGCATATTAGTTTCGATAGAGCTAATATATATTCGAACATTTTGAGTTGAAATGCTGATAGCTGAGTTGATTCCAATCAAAGACTACTCGGGTAGACTGCAGATAACGGTCCATACAAAAAATATATATATTTCGTAGATGAACTTTGATATTATATCACACAAAAAGAAAAACAACTACGAAATCCAAGATGAACAAGTCCACATTATTGGCCGGGAGACATTTGCGCCTTCTGCTTAGCCTCGACGGCAGCACAGGCAGCCTTATAGGCGGCCTGTTTGGTCTTTTCAAAGTCCTGACGGGCATCCACCATTTGACGCTGCAGACCTTCCACGCGATTCTTGGCTGCCTCCAGCAGCTGCATCTTCTCGGCCAGCTCTTGTTGCGCTCCACTCGACACATTCTCAATATTCGCCAGATTTCCCGTCGAAGCGGCCACTATCCGTTTCAGATCGTTCAGTTCGGCCTGCGCCTGTTGGGCAGCTGTTGCGGCTGCGTTCGCATTCGCCTGGGTATTTTGAAGAGAAGCAGTTACTTCGGTCACCACCGCATCCGCCTCGGCCATTTCTCGCTGCAGTTGTTCCATAATTTGTTGCTTCCCGGCGAGTGCCGCTTCCGCTGCCCGAGCCGACTGCATCGCCTTGTCCGCCAGCTCGAGCTTAACCTGAGCGGCGGCTGCGTCTGCTGCAGCCGTTTGTGCATCATTGGCGGCTTTGGCCTCCACTGCCGCTTTCTGGGCGATATTCGATGCCTTCACCTTGGGATCGCCTTTGCTAACAGAAGCTCCACAATTTTTGTTGCTGCTACATTCGGAACCGCCTCCTCCTTCTTTTTTTCCACCATCGTCGGCAAACCGCTCCAGATCAAAATCGGGATATATCCTCAGCAAATGGCGCTTGCTGTAAATCTGAAAGACCTGATTAGCTGCGGGCTGATACTAAGGACACCACCCGTACTAACCTTGTCGTGCGGTCTCGCAACGAAGCCTTGCGTTAGGGAACTAATGTTGATCAGCAGGAATATGGTTACAATTTGGCGATAGAGCATTGTGGGAAACGTGTAGAATTCATTTTAAGAATCCCAATGTACTCGAATTTATCAAAATGTCAGGGCTATTCCTGGTTTCGAAATAGAACAATCAAGGACTAGATGTATACTAAAACATACATGAAAAATGTTCGAGACTTCGGAAAATGCTGATATATTTTTATATAACAGTAATGTTACTTGCCACCTTACCCTCCCCTGCCCAGCAGGTGAGTGCAGAGTTCCCCTACCTCCAGGCACGGCCAAGGCGCATGCAACCCCCACGGTACGAGGCAAGCGCGTTTGCTGGCTTAGACGACTTCAATGGAGACGGCATAACCAATGCGGAGAATCCAGCTTCGGGTGCCAGTTGTGACAGAGAAGACAACGGCAGGGGTCGACGACCCCAGGATCAGCGGGGGAAGTTCTCCCAAAACCTTGGCAACTCTAGAAGCACAAAGCAGCGTGCCTCTGGTATAGCTGTGAAGGCTGCGCAGGAGGCCAAAAAGGCCAACGACGATATGAGCTCGGCAGTTAAGATAGCCTCCCAAAAAATTAAGCTAGAGTATGCCGAGAAGGCGGCCGCTGCCGCCAAGGCTGCTGAGGCGGTGCTAGCGGGAAAAGCTCAAGTTTTGGAGCAATTAGAGCTAGAGGTGCGTGAGGCGGAGCTTGTAGTTCAAGAGGAGTCCCAGGCACTCTGTACGGCCGAGTCCAATAGTCAACTTGCGGGGAAAGCAGCCTCCCAAGCCAAGGAGGGGCTGAAACTAATCCTCCAAGGCTTGAAAGTTGCGCGGGAAAATTTTGAGAGCTCAGAACAAGTGTCGAATGGCTGTAAACAATCGCTCGCCGATAAGACAAACCTTCTAGAGGCGGCCCAGAAACGAGTGACCCTCTTGCTGCGCCAGTTAACCGAGGCTCGCAACGACTTTACAAAAACAAAACAGGCGGCACAACGGGCCGCTTGTGCAGCAAACGAGGCCAAGGAGCGCATTAACCGACAGCGGCGCAGGACATATCGAAAGAGATGGATCACAGAGGAATAGTGTATATGGCGTTAAGTTCAATTTGTTCCACATTTTCCCATTCTTGTACTTAAATGTACATTTCAATAAATTACTAATTCCAGGCGCCACTGTTGTATGTTCTGTAATGTCTTCATTGTCCTCAAAGTCCTTCAGGTCACATCAGTTGGTTCCTAATATATTCTAGACCATGACTCCCTTAAGCAAAAAAACAATTGACTCCCCAGATAAGAACTTATCCCAGACTTGACTTCCGTCTCCAATTACACTCGACGACAAAACCACAGCATTTATGAACGCAAGGATCTCAGAAAGTATAAGAGCTAGAATAACCAAACTTGGTATCCAGATTCTCCTACGCCCGGGAAAGGGCAACTTTGTTCATTTGCCCCGATGCACCCCCCACTTCCCCGCTATTCACGATTTCAAATAACTCCCGCTATTCTTGGAATTTTAAACTAAAATTTGGTAGTCACATCCAGTTAGTGATTATATATCCGTATCCCAAGTTTTATTATGATAGGTACAACCAGAGGCAAGCTCAGTCCGCAGGTGTATTTGTTGCTGCTTTGACATAATTATGTAATGCACACATACATATTTACAAGTACACAAACACGCATAGACACGATTCTAATGTAAATGTATGTATGCATGTTTGGAATATTTTATATTTACTTTAATTAATTAATTAAATTAATAAACATTTTTTAATAATTTTTTTTTTTTTTTTTTGGGTTGGTATTTTAGAGTTGAGCCTGCTTGACTTTAGCATTCCTTTCTTGTTCCAATTAACCCCTAGGCAATTCTTACAAGAGACTTAGATCAAGGGAATAGTAAGCACTTCATAAGGACACAAAAGATTACATGAATTTACGTAAATAATATCCAAACGAGTATATTCCACAAATGCTGGAATGGCTGAATATTGGAGCAGCCCGACCAAAGGATTGTTAAAGAGATACGCTTGATTTGCTGAAAAGTTCTTTATGATAGCGAAATCCAAAACTGTAATGGAAAAATTGAAATCGGCCCGACCAGAGGATTGTTAAATCTAGATACAGTACATTTTAAGAATGCAAATTTATTAATTTTAATTTGAGTTCAATTTATTTCTTTCAACTTGTTTATTTGTTATTTTTTATGTTGGAGTATAAATAAATCAGACAAGATAAATAAAATCTCATGTATTAAAATAATTTATTCTGTAATTTATTCAATTTTTTTCTTTAGGGAATAAAAATATAAAATTCCTTGACGGCGTGCAAAAAGTGCTCGCGTCCGAATGGCTGCCAAAAATGCTCTGGAATATACAAAACTATGTCTGTACATTCGTATGCTTGCTTAATTGGTTTTAATTTGTTTTCATTTTTTTGAACTTAAGCTGTCTAAAATGTATGCATAAAATTGTTGCTGCTTTGAAATTTCGACAAATACAAATAAAATGGACTAAGATTATGCTTAAACCGAATAATTTACAACTAATAGAATACAAGGGAGCTTAATAAATAAGGATTGGATGTAATTTTAAAAAAGGCCATTACACAATTAATTAATTGTACACAATTGGATAATTTAGAATTTGGAACACTTTCGCTTTAGCAATTACAAACAAATCATACAATGTACATGGACTCTTTTACACATTAAAATAAAGTACATTGGAGAATTACATACAATTTAAGAGGAATAATAAATATGAATTAACAACAAATACAAAAAGGTGTTGTTTGTTTGTTTAAATAATAATTTCATTAGTGATGCTTAGTTGCGTGTTGGTTGGTTGCTTGCAAGAATTTCGTTTTGTTTTAAGTTATATGTACTCGTACATACTTTCACGGTATATATATTTATACATATATATGTATACATATGTATTTATGTGTATGCATGAAAGCGGATATTATAATTATTAATAGTTTCATTATTTTAATATAACAAACATAAATACTCGATTTGCAAGTGTGCACGATTCTACATAAAATAGTTTCTTTCGTTCGTTATAGTTAAAGAGTTGCGTATTGTAGTTAAATTCTTAACGATTTTGTTATTAGCTCTCTAATTATATTTACAATCTAACACAAGCCCCTGTAAATAATCATTAAATGTTTTGTTTGCTGCCCAGCTTCTGATAACTATCGAACAATTTCAATTTAAACAATTCAAAATGTTAAATGTTATTGCAATTATTGTTGATCGATCGTATGGTTCGCATGCTCATCATCTAAGTGGTATGTTAGTTAATAGAATCTGTCAAGCCTAAATATAGAGTGTTTTGTGGGTGTATATATATATATTAATATGTAATAGCTAATACATAAGGTATTCTTATGTATACAGCTAAACATTTTCATTCTGCGTTCTGATCTGTTCTGCTCTGAATACTGACATCATCGAGTTTCCATGTTTTTGATAGTTTTCTTGGACGATATAGACACCTATTGCATCGAATAATGTTGCATATATCGTGAACGTTGCACTTATCGTATTGGAACCTTATATGGGTGCATTTTAGCACAATATGCAACGATTTATGTTGTTTTATAGTATAATATATATATGTACATAAATGTAATATAATATCAACGTTTTTAACTCTTAAAACTGTACTTAAAACGTATGGTATAAAATGAATAAAGTATCACGATTGACCAAACTTAGATCGAATTAACCGTTAACTACAAATGTTTTCATGTGTGTGTGTGTGTGTGTATGTTGTGTGTTTCCCTTCACTTTCGCTCTATTAAGGTATCCTTATATTTCATTTTGAGTATGTGTGTTAGACGCACTGCGCCATGTCGATGACATCGGAGTTGTTATTAAATCTAGTTTAAGTACTTGCGGCATCGTTTAGAGCCGCAGGAGCAGGGTATTTTCTCATCCTCGAATGGGAACTTGTAATCATACGTCAATTCCTCGCCTTGCACTATGCGCCGTAAAGCGAATATGATGATGTGCTTGTGGCCAAGTATATCTACGACCTTGGAATAGCAATTCGGCTGTGAAAGATAAATGAATAAAGCGGATAAGAAATTATAATGATTGCCAAGATTTTCGTCTAAAATGTAGTACTCACCTCACAAGAGTGATTGATGAAGCGTGCCGCATTGCCTCGCATTGTGGCATCCACGACAAGGTTGTCGTCGATCTTGAACATATAGCAGCCAATGCCACGGCTATCGTAGTAGCGCTCCCGTTTGTCGGTCAATGTGGAGCGTATCAGCTCGCCGGCATACTCTATGACCATTTCACCTAAAATTGTCCGAAAAATTAGTGCTGCCACAAGATGGGAATGTCGGGCAATGCTTGAACTAACCCGCTTCAATGTCTTTGGTGCAATAGAGTCCACGTCCGTGTATATGCGACCTGAATACGCCGACGTAATCCTTGTATGTCTCTTTGAGCGTGCGGTACTTCATTGCCATGGGAAGATTGCTGCCCGTACCGCGCCTACAATAAAAACGGCAACACATTAGACATTACGTTCCATTAACCGCCTTAGACCTTCCTCTTTTCTAACCCACCTTGGAACCAGCTCATTATCCGAGGGCTGCACAAATACTTGTATGGGCTGTTTGCGATGTCGCGAGGCTAGCCAGCTGAACATGTCGTACTCGGAGCGACTGGAGTAAGGCTCACAGCGAGCACAGTCGAAGGCGTTCTCCTGCAAATCATCTTGATCCGAGCCATAGTCCAGTAGGGCATGTGTGTCGCCGACATTGTGTACTGAAGCAATGCCAGCCCCATTAACTGAACTTCCAGTTACGCCCACGCCGCTTCCATTGATTAGACCCGACGATGTGGAGACATTACCATTGCGTTTATGGTACTTTGGAGTGTATTTGCCACACTTCTCCACACCAGGCAGCTGCTCGATGAGATATTTGAGTGCATTTGTCTTCAGACCTATCATCTGCACGCCGCTCATATCGGCCAATGGACCCTCGGGCAGTGGTGCTAGACCATGGGCTCTTCGCGCTACTTGCACTGCTTCGAACACCTTCTCCCAAATCTCCGCTATGGAGGTGGACTTGTAGGTGAAGCCATCCTCGCTCTGTATCTCATAGAGCAGATGTGGTCCACTTATCTTTTTTGGCTCGCGCATTGGCGGCGGCTGCTGCGGTGGCGCGGCTGTGGCCACTTCTACAGCTGGTGATTGTGGCGTTAGTTCTTGCGCTGCATCAGGTTTTGGTTTCTTCAGCTCATGCTGCAGCTTTTTCAGTTCTAATTCATGGGCTTCAGCCATTTCATTGATGTAGCTGGCAGCTGCCTCCACCGCAGCCGTTTCCTCAGGTGTGGCCTCAAAGGATTCCCCAGTCTCTGCCGCTGTCGCTGTTGTGGCCAGAACATCCTCTACCATTTGCTGATAGCCTGCATTGTGTTGCAATTCAGCGCCCGCCTCAACTGTTGTCGTAGTGGCTATAGAATCGGCACAATCATCGTTCGTCAAGTTATCGAGGATCTTGCTGATCTTTTCCTTAACTGCTGGCTCCTCGCTGTCAGACATTTCATGATCATTGCAGGCAGAAGTGGCCATTTTGAGACTGAAGTCATCATCATCATCGTCCTCATCTTCAGCTTCGCCGCCATTGCACTGCTCAATGCCGTCATCTTTCAGTTCTTGCTGTTCATTGTTGTTCATATACTGATCGTCTGTGTCCATGGCCACTGCTGACTCAACATGATAGCCATGTTTATCCAGAAGGCAGTTATCGTTTGCATTGAGATTAAATCCATTGTCGACTGCTTCAATCTGCGCTTCGCTTTCGCTTGCTTCCATGAGCATGAGATCTTCATGTTTCTGTTTGTCTGCCTGCTCCGGTCGTTGCTTCTCATAGATGAGCTCATTAAAGCTGGACTCCTGCTGCGACTGTGCTAGCATCGTCGTCACCGTTGTTGTCGCCACTAGATTATTGACGGTACCAGGTGATTTTAGCTCGGTCTCGTATACTGGCGACTTTTGCTCCAACTGTGCATAGCATTTTGACACTACCTTTTGTGTGGAGGTGAAGTTTGTACTGCCCGCTGCTGCCATTTGCTCCACGATCTTTGGCGGTGTTGGTGATTGCACCACCGGATCGTTAGGCAATGGAGCTGGTTCCTGACGCTGTTGCATGGGCAGAACTCGATTTGTGGGCCGACTATTGATCGTAATGCTTTGTTGTGTGGTGCTGGTTGTAACGCTTGTGGTTGCCAGAGTCGGCTGTTGTTGCTGCAATGGATTTACTACATTCGTTGGCAAGGTGTTGCTTGTGAAGTGTTGCAGACGATTGCTGATAATAGTATTGCTGCTAGTGTTTCCATTGCATGTAAGTAACTCGGACATCTGATTCTGTTGTTGTTCCAATTCAAGGCATTGTTGCTGGCTCTGTGTCACCACGAACTGTGTTGTCTGTGGCTCCGCAGCGTGTGTGTTGCCCATGTTTATGGTTGTCAATGGCTGGGGAGTGCTTTGTAGTTGGTGTTGCGCATGGGATGCGGACAACAGCTGCTGTTGCTGCTGCTGCTGTTGTTGTTGCAGGCGATGCACTGCAGCGACTGTGTTGTTGCCGGCGATGTGAGCTCCAACCTTAGGTACTTGTTGCTGATGAGGTTGAAGCTGCTGTTGGTGGTGCAGAGTTGTTGCAGGCAGCTTGACCTGTCCATTGTTGCTGTTGGTGTTGGCCCCTGCTGGCTTCATAATCTTGGGCTTTACTTCCACTTTATGTATGGGTCGTATAAGATTGGTTTTCTTTTGCAGCGGTTTGGATGCTATACTAGGTGGTGCGCCACATGTACTGCCGATTTGCTGCTGATTACCCATTACATTGCCGCCATTCGCTTTCGATTTGAGATCCGCCATCTGTTGTCGTTGGAATTGGGACATCGACTTCAGGTTGCCGCTTTGGGACATCTTCTGTATTTGCTGCTGCTGTTGTGTGGCAATGGTTGTGGGCAGAACTTTGTTTATTACTTGCTGTTGGGGCTGTACTTTACTCATGCCCGAAACAGGCGTTCCTTTGGTCGTTGCATGAACATTGACATTGCGTTTCACTTGAGCAACTGGTGGTATTTTAGCAGTAACCACCAGTGGTGTTGTCGTGCCGCCGACATACTCCATGCTTGGACTTGCTGTCGAAGTGGGCGTCGTGTGTTGCTGTTGGAACTGATAGCTTGCGTTCTGCAGCAACTGAGCCGTGGCCTCATCCACCTGCGGCTGGTTCTGTTGCAGCACACTGGTCGCATTTAGGAAGCTGCCCGCGCCGTTGCCGGTATCAACGGCATTGTTTAGTACCACATAGCCGGCTGGTATATCCACAATAGGCTCAATTTTACTTGCTTGGAATACTTGCGTTGTGGTCGCCGAGAAGCTGGCATTCTGGCTAAGAACTCCAGGCATTGCTGTAGATACGAACTGCTGTGAAGACATCACTGTATTTTGTACAATCGTCTCAAGTCCGTAATACATGGGTTGAGTGGCGAGTATGACTTGCGGTCCTGTTGCACCAAAGTCTAGACCCGTCGCCGAGGTCGCTGTAGTTCCGCCAATGATAAGAGGTTGTTGAGCCCCTGTGTTCTGACTTCCATCACTGTTGGTGGTGGCCAATTGCAGTGTCTGAGGCTGGATGAGCGTTCCGATTACTTGAGGCTGCGTCTGCAACGGCGCCAGCATTTGCAGACCAGAAGGTGTCTGAGCAGTGGTCAACATGAGATTACCGCTGGCATCCGTTTGTAAGAAAGTAGCACCCTGCAGGAGCTGGTTGGCATTGGTCGCGGTTCCCGCCGTTGCGGCCGTAAGAAATGTGGGCGTTTGTGTCTGCTGTTGTGGCTTAAAGTCCCCGGTAGTTGGTATTGAGATATACTGAAGCTGCTGATTCTGGCTGCCATCGCTGGTCACAAATGAGATAATGTTCTGGGCCTGCGTCTGTGGTAACAGCAATGAGGGAGCCGCTTGTTGTGCTTGCGATGTGTTGGTCTGGAACAGCAATTGCGGCTGTAGGAGATTCTGACCCAATAGCTGTGTGGTGGTTGTGCCATTGGTGCCACCACCCGTGCTGCTGAGCACAGTGATCGGCGTTGGATTATGGGACTGATTGGCCACCGTCGCTGGTGCCATGAGCTTAGCTTGTATCGGCTTGACACCGTGCGCCTTTAGCTGCTTCTGTTTGGCTGCAGCTGTTGCCTGTTGGGCGGCCTTTGTGGCTACCGTCTTCAGTGGCTTTCCCGTCACCGGCAATACAATCTTTTTGTCGCTGTTTGTGGCCTGCAATGTTTGGTAGGTAGCAGTGGGTGCTGCCTGCAGGAGTTGTGGTGCAGCATTTGTGGTTTGGGGCAGCTGTATAAACTGGTGCGTCCCATCCGGATTCGTAGAAACAGCTATGAGTTGAGGTTGCGCTTGTGCACTCACCGTGGGTTGTGTTAGCGTGAAGCCACCACCTAGATTGGCAGCCAGCGATTGCAGTGAGCTCGCGTACAGCTGCAGCTCATCATTGCTGTTGGTGGCAGCGCTGGCCTGTGTATGATTTGGATTCGCCTGCGATAGGAAGAAGCCATTTCCCAGGGATTGCGGCTGTAATTGCAAATTCTGCAACCCCTGTATGCCCTGCAATCCTTGCACGCCAAACTGACCCAGCGTGGCAAGATTCTGGACTTGTGGAAAGGTGGGCTGCAAGTAAGGCAGACCATTGGCACTAGTGAGAGTGGCTGCGGCCACTGCCTGCTTCTGTAACTCGTTCAAGCTATCAGCCGTTAGATGCGTGGCGTTTTGCGTTGTTGTCTGGCTGCTGTGCGAGGTGGTCTCCGAATCGGATTCACTTGTTGACATGGGTTCGCAGTTATGTAGATGACGCTGGAACGAGTCGTAGTTGCGATAGGTGCACTGACAGCGCTCACACTTTACCTGTCCAGTAAACTGAGCCGCCGCCATATGACCATCACTGGAAATAATGCGAAACTCGGTGATGGAGTCGTCAACGCCGTCCATTTGCATAATCTTTATTTTGCTCGTTTCCTCGCGCTTTTCGCCATTATCAAAATAACGCGTCGCGGCGCTCCAGGTGAAGCTCTTGCTGCGCACTGCGCTACTCTCTGCCGCTAACTCACCACCACAAATGGACTGACGTCGCGAGACACCCGCCACAGTGGCCATCTCCTTTTTGCTTCGCTGATGATTTAGGCTCAGGAGCATTCCTTCGGCTAGACCTCGTGATAACTTGCGCCGTTTAATGGCGGCGACGCTGCTGCCATCTAATTTTGGCCATGCTCGCGTATGCGCCGCCCCTGGTTTCTTCAAAACATCGGAGGCATTGGGAATAGCTCCCACTGTTTTATTGCGTTGCTTAGCTTGGCTAGTAGTGCGTACGGAAGAGAGCATAGCATCCTCCACTGGATTGCTCGCCGGCCAAGAGTTGGTAAGTTCCAGCTGCTTTCCAAAGCTATTCGAGGTGCCCGTGTCCTCATCACAAATTTGCACGTTACTGCTACTGCTGCTTACGCCCACGGTGGCTGGAGCCTGCGTTGGAGCGCTACTATTTACACCATCCTTGGATTGTTCGTTCATGGCAAACAGTTCCGTTTTGGCATCACCCAGGTCTTCGTACATAAATATATCCAGCATGGATATGCCGTCGAGAAGCTCATGCGGTAAATCCTCAAAAATTGCGTCTTTGATCTCAGGTGGCAACAAGTCAGCGTTGTTCTGCGGCTCCTCCTCGGTATTTTCATCCGACGCTACATAAGAGTTTTGACTGTGTACCAGATAATCGGGTAACAGTTTTGATAGTTCCGCTGCGCTGGCCGACCAGTCTACATCTAACAGATCACTGCGTGCCAAACTATTTTGCCAGCGAGCTATTTGCGCCAGTCCCAGTTGTACCATCGAGCTATTTGGATTGCTATGATCAACGGTGAAATTACGACCAGCATCCAGGGTTGTGAGCGTCGAGAAACTATTTTGGATAGTGGTACGTACAGTGTACTCAACAATTTTCCAGGGTTCTTTTGAAGACCAGTAAAGGCGGCTGCACAGGAAATTTACGGGCACAATGGCTTCGAATGAGTCAGAGAATCGTGGCACTATAGACCCCAACTGTCGCACTTCCAGCGAACCGATATGAAACTGCACTTTGGCGGGTTCGATGAGTTTTTTGCGCTTGCGATCCAGTTCCACGTAGACAGGTCGCGACACTTCAAAGTTTGACTCAAACGTAACGTTTGGAGAGCCATTCGCCTTCAGCGCATTTTTTGCATGTGTCGGACAGTACATGGATTTGTCGGTAAGGAAAGCACAATCGATGCTTCGCGCACACGGGTAATGGTAATGCTCACCACAGGACTTCACATTGCAGCCGACAGTGGCGCCACGATTTCCACATACTGTACACTTGATCATGCGGCCGCGTGAAACGGCACTGTGTACATTCTGCAGTGAACCGTCAATCTCCTCGAATACTTCGGCCGACCACATGGCACAGTTTGTGTGCACCCAACAGTCGTGTCCACAGTACAGTAAACGCGCCTCCTCGTTCGAGAGACCCTCTCCGGTTTTGCGACAGAAGAGACAGACGCGCGTGTCTATGCGCGTTTTAAGCGCACATCCAACCTCGTCCACGTCCGCTGGTAAATCGAGCACTCCTTGAACCTCGGCTGTGTGTTCGGCATAGGGAGCGGGAGACTCGTCCACTTCATCGTTGAGCGTGTTATAGGAGCACGATTCGAACATATCCTCCTCGAGTGCGTCTGTGCAGGCCTTGGTTTCGTTTTGAAACCATGGAAATTGTTCGCTCAGCAGCTCTTTATAGGCTATATCGAGCTCATCACAGTTGCCCTGCTGTATCACGTTACTCATGTCATAGTTGAACTCGGCAAGGGAGACGTATGCATTGCTACTTATCTTCTGCTTGATGTCCACAAGACTAAAAGCCTGCGACTGATTGTAGGACTGAGTGCAGGTGCATGGCAATCTCGATGATTTAATGGCAGCATTACTTGAGACTAGACTTTGCATCGGCTGATCCTTGAACTCATACACATCGTCGCTGTTCTGTGATTCGCCATCACTTCCTAAGCCATTGTCACTGCTGTTGAACAGTAAAGCCTTGCGCTGCATCTTGCCATTTCCTCCTCCACCACTACTGGCACCGCATGTGCAACGCACTTTCTTGCGCGGACTGAGTTTAAGTAACGCACAGGCCTGCCGAGACTTACTCAAGAGCTTGAGAACGCTGAAGAGACTAGCCTTAAACTCCTCCATAACGGCCTGCCGCCACTCCTCCGCCTTGTTACGAGAGCTTTCATTGCGTCGTGCGCATTTTTTGCATATGAACTCAATGGATTCCGGCAGTGTGCTCAGTAGATTGTACTGCTCATCGCTTAAGCCTTCGCACTTTGAGTGGACCCATTGGTTGCAGTCCCCACATTCCATCATTTTCAGATCGAAATCGTTGTCGTCATAACATTTTTGGCATATGGGACAGTAGTTTCCCTTTTTGCGCAACTTAAAGCATGACGTGCACATGGGCAGGTTACCTACAAACTTTGACACCTTCGTGGTCGAACACGATTTGCACTTAAGACAATTGACGCAGATGAGCGGACGATCCGCGCCCAGTAACCTTTTGCTGGTTCCCAAGCATGTTGTGTGATAGTTCTTCTGACACTTTTGACATTTTACCTTCGAGCCGGAAGACATGTTGCAGGTGTAGCAGACGGTGCAGCGGGGGCACAGCCAGTTAAGGCGATTTGTTAGCTGGTTGAGCTGAGCAGCAGTGCTGCAATTTAACTGTGTCGCTGCTGCTGATGTAGTTGTAACTGACGTGTCCAGCAGACTGTTCATCAGTGTGTCATCAAAGGAGGTGTGTTTGATATTGTATTCATCCAGGACACAGTACTGATGATATGGTTCGCAACAGCAAGCACAGAAAATGAGGGGATCCAGGCCTGTAGAGCCACAAAGAAAGCACAGGGCGCGCTGTGCCACCGTCTCAGTGACAATAAGTCCAAAACCAGTTTGACAGACTTCGGCCGGATCATAGTTTTCCCAAAAATCAATGGAAATGAGCGCCAGTCTGCAAGAATCCTTAGGCAGGCCACTGCGCCGACCCTGGCCTGCCACAAGCTGTGCAGCGCCAGCGCCGCCAGACGAGCTTTCACAGATATTGCCAATGTTCGACTGCCGCATATGTTTTTTAGAGCTTACTATCAAGGCATTACCGTTTGAGGTTCCACCTGCGGCCGAGTTCCGTGTGGTAATTTTACCCGTGAGTTTGGTCGGTGCAATATCCTTTTTAGATTCTGTGATATTTGACTTTGTAGACTTTAATTCGGTTGATGTTGTTACGGTCTTGGTTTGTGAATTTCCCTCGGTTGTAGCTGTAGATGGCAACACCTTGCACGTAGCGCAATTGTCGTTCTCATCGGTGATTATTTGAGTGGCAACTGGCTTTGGCAATTCAGCAGATGGTACTTGATCTGGTTCAGGAGCTAGTGCTTCCTCTTCTTCACCGAAAGTGGCCAGCGGTTGGCCAAGCACTATGGACGCGCTGCGGCAAACGTGCTTTACTCGCGGACCCTTTAGATCAATACGTTGGCGCTTCAGCGTGTCCGCAAGTGGAGCAACAGCCCCTTCGACATGTTCGGTGATCGTGGGCAGAGCAGCGGAACTTGAGTTCGGTGTAGTCTGACTAGCAGGCATTGTACCTGTGCTTGTTTGATCACTTGCAACTTGTAGGAGCTGTTCCTCTTTTGAATGATCCTGTGCTGATAATGATTCCGATGTTACTGTTGCTTTCTTGGTTGTCGGGCTAAGAGGCTTTTCACTATCCACCGCATCCTTGGATTTTTCCTTTTCCAATTTATCCTGCTTGCTTTTCCTCGTACTCTTGTGCGAGCCTACAGATTCACTGGGACTTAAGCTGGCCGTGGCAGACTCCGTTTCTTTGTCCTCGATCTTTTTGCTATTGCTATTCAGGTCGCCCGTCTTGAGGAACAATGGTTTTTCAAGAATGGCTGGCCGAAGCAAAGGCGTGCTACCGAACGTTAAATTATTCTCAGCCAATGGATTTGCTTTGATGGAGTTGACTGCAGTATCTGCATTGGATTTCCACTTAATTGTTGTGCCAGTTGTGCTTGGTGAGCTGCTCATGGGCGCGACAGAAAAGCGCAGACTTCCTGTCGGCGACAGTAACTCCATGGATTTATCATCCTTTTGCACGGAATCACATTTTTCCACTTGCTTCAACATGTTGGCGGGTAATATTGCGCCCAGTCGGCTCTTGTGGCCCGCAGGCAATTGAAATACCACTAGGCATTTCTTTAGCCAACAAGCCGTGCAGCGTTCCTTGTACAACTTCTTAAAGTTCTTAGCTTGGTTCTTGAGCGAATGAACGCTGCAAATACCATCTAGAAGAGAATTGGGCGTATTAATAAATATGGGCCACTGCTTTATATGAATTGTCGACTTACCTTCAGAGCCCTTGCACTGGAGTTGTTGGGTAGCCGTCGAACTGGAGCCTGTATGTGCCGAAATAGATTTTTTTGTCATTTTGGAAATGAATTTGCGACACACTTCACATGCTGTCACACCGAACTTGCGAGATTGTGGTGCATCTTTGCTGTTGATGGCCGCAGAGCAGACGGCACATACTGGTGATGTAGCTGTAAGAATGCATAGTCAGTGAATATCCAATTCCTTAATTCAATGGATAGACAGAACTTACCTGCGCTAGCACTGGTGAGCAAACCAAATGTCATTGAATTGGCTGGCGTAATGGCACTTGATGTGGGCGAGAGGGCGGCAGCCGTTAGCATTGACTTAGCCGAGGCAAACGGAACATTCTTATCATTTTGAAATTGCAGGCGTGGCTCCCACAGCACAGAACTGCTGTTCAGTTTCATGTTACCAAAGCTTGAGAATGCGTCTTTGCCAGTTTTTAGACTCAAAGAATGGGATGATGGCTCCGTATTAAAGTTACTTAAGCCAAAGTAATTCTTTGGCTTTGGTTTGACATTGGTATCATTGGTGTTTTTCTTGCTAATGCTGCCGTCTTCCAGTAACCGCTTGTTTGGTTTGATGATGCGCGATGACCGCGTGCTGCGCTTAGGCAGCACAAAATGCTTGTCCACCACCAGTTGTTTCTCCTCGCCATTCTTTGCAGTCTTTTCATGCGATTCCTCGTTAAGGCTTGGCATCGTTTCTGAACTTTTTTCAGAAGCTGCCTCATCATTGTCCTCCATATTATCATCTGTGTCCTCATCGTCTTCATCATCATCCATATCATCGTCATCACTAGCTTCATCATCCGAGTCAGGCTTGCTGAGACGAAATGTTATTGTACCCGGATCCGTGCCTTCGTCTTCGGTTGGAGCACCGAAAGCACGTGAGAGCGCTGTTCCAAAAACGCTCTTAGAGGAGCCTGGTTCCAGAGTAGACGTTGTGGCATGGGACGAACGAAACTTCAGCGAGTTCAGTTTATCGATATTTGAGTTATTGTTGAGTATTTTTGATAATATGGATGGCCGCACTATGCACTCGCTGCTCCGAGAGTAGGACAGTGGTCGGTTCATGCTCTCCTTTTTCATAATGGAGACTAGCGGCATGTGATTATCCGGATTATAGAAGCGCCTAACAGCCGACTTGTCATCGCTGGTCTCGAGTATATTTTTGAAGGTGACGGTCTTTTTCTGTTTCGTCGCAGTCGAGGCTCCCGTCGATGTCGTGGCCGCTGCATTGGAGCCATTTGGGTTTGAGCCACCGCTTGCTGTAGCTGTTGCGGATGCACTGTTGCCTACGGTTGTAGCTGCTTCACTGGGCATTTCGCTAGATTTCTGTGGCTGAAAATGCATCGGTAAAATGTATGCATAAATATTGGTTTTTCGTTAATTCATGCATGCCCGAAAATTGAAGTGCATAATTGCCTTCCCACAATCAATCAATAATTCATGCAAGTAACTAGTAAAGCAGGCAAAATATACTTAGAAAAACAAGCAAACACGACAAGTCGAGCGCGGGAAACGGGTATGGGAAACAGGAATAAATGCACCTTTTGGGGGAAACAAGTTATGTGCAGGTAAGTACAGGCAGGGCAAAGCGCTAAAACGTCATAAAAGCCAATTAGGCTGGCAAACGACAGAAGGGAGCAATAGGGCGGTAGCAAAGTTGGAAGCAGGTAGGCATGTGGGATTGAGGGGGTAACAGAGTCAAGCCAAGGCGTACCATAGTCTGCCATTCAACTTGCTTATTTACATTTTGTAGAAAGAAAAAAACACGCAGAATAGAGTAGAAGCAAATAGCACGCAAAGCAAAAGCGAAACAAAAATCACTGAGGAAAATCGGCTTAAACTTTTTAATAAAGCGGGAGCGAGGTGTGTACTGTACGACAAAAACAACAACAAATTAACTTACCATTGCAACGTCTTCGCTTGCCTCAACGACTTTTGACTCGATGGCAGCAAAAGGGTTAGCAAGCAGACCTGCAGCCGGGCCCGAGCTCGTCACCGACGCTGACGGCGACGTCGCTGTTGCCGTCGTTGCTGTTGTTGTTGTTGTTGATGATAATGTTGACGTAGGAGACGATGAAGGGCAATTAAGTTGCAATTGTTGTTGCTTGAGTTTCGATGTTGAAGGCAACATCACCTCCGCTCTGGCCAGATTCAAGTTTTTAAATTTTTTATTGCCTCCTTTGCGTGCACGCTGCAACGCACTGACCAAAGTGCCCGGCATAAAGGCTCCTGCTCCCCCAAGCGTCGTATTACTGGCCAACTTTTCGCTACGGCTGTCAGCGTCAGTGTCATCATCATCGTCGGGCTCATCTTCGTCGTTGTTGTCCCTTTCCAACACATCACTGTTGTTATTGTTGTTGCTGTTGTTGCTAGCTTGTTGTTTGCCATCGTTTCTTTTGCATTCCTTGGGCGCAGTAGGCGTGACCTCTGACACGGTATTGATGTCACCACTCGGCGTGGGCGTGGTGGCTGCAGTTGTGGCACTTCTATTGTGGCTGCCATTATCGTTACTGCAATTAGCACCGTTTACCGCGCCTCCATTTGTCGAGCCCCCACCCCCACTGCTACCGGTGTTGCCATTTCCCGAGCATGTTGCTGTCGCCGTAGTTGAGCTTGCCCCATTCCCACTGGCAGCAATTGCCCCATTCGGTGCGTTATCATCATCATCGTTATCACAATTGTTGCCTTTCTCGTGCGAAGCTGAGCTAGCGCTCTGCTCGCTCTGTTGCTGCTGTTCCGCTGCAGCTGCTGCTGCCGCTGTGGCCGCAGTGCCTGCTGTCGCTTCATCCTCCAATTGCAATACACTTATCCGCTTACGATTAATCGACTTGGATGGTTTCCCGGGAAACTTGGAGCGGCCCATAATATACGCAATGGCTGGTATTGAATTTGCATTTGCGATTTCTTCCTTGTTATCCACTGATAGCTACGTTGGCGGCACTTTCCTTGCTATGGCTCCGACTAAAGGCGAAAATAACATTGTTCATGTGAGCATAAAAGACCGGTATTAAAACGCAAGCAACAACAATGACAGCACCAATAATGCTTGTAACCGAGCCACGCTTGGAATGTGTCAACTTCCCCCTGCACGCTGCCACGCAACCGAAAAAACTTAAACGCCACGGGCTGTTTTTTTTTTTTTTGTTGTTGTTGATGTAGTTACCGATTTCGAGTCGTTTCGTACGCGTTTCGCGCGGCTTCCTCGCTCCTTGCTTTGCAAATTACAACTTCTAGCCCGAAGGTGACGTCGTCGACTGCCGCTTCGTATTTAATGTTAATGTTTGCGAACCGAACCGCATTCACAACAACAACAGTTTAAAAAATGCTCTCGCACGCCTCTCTTTTACGCTCACAGATGTGCACACCTCCTGACAATAACCGGCGCGCTAAAGGTGCAATTGCAGCTGCCTTTGTCTGCCTTGTTGCTGCTGTTGTTGTTAATATTGTAAACTGTTGTTGTAATGCGTTGCTACGTGCTCCTGGTCTGCTGCTTCGTCTTGCGTGACTACTGCCAGCTTACCACCTTTTTACGCTACTACCACTAAATATGTTCATAGTTTAAAATGCACCCGATACATTGTTATAGAAATAAATTACTTATAACAACAACTAACAACGATGCATGAGACAAAAACAACTTGTTCTTCTTCTTGCCACTTAGCACGCGCGCGCTCTATTTCTTTGCACTCGCAGACTCCTTTTGAGAGCGCAACTGTCTCTCGGGCACGCGAGAGAGAATTAATCGCACCGTCACCTTCCCGTTGCGTCGCGTCGCGTCGATTCTCGTAGCGTCGCGCCGTTGTCCCGTCAACGTCTCATCGACGTTTTAAGTGGTTTTTCTACTTCACAACTTGAACTTTTCTTCGCAGGATTTTCTTGTTTCGCATTGTTGGCGTTGTTGCTGTTGCTGTTGCTTTTGCTTGGAATTGAAGTTCTTACTTATTGTTCTTGTTGTTGTTGGTACACGGATGCCTCTTGTGTTAAGTGGTGGGTTTTCCCTTCTGCCTTGTTTTCTTTTATGACTTCTTTTTTACGACAGATTTTCTTTGCTTTTTCCTTTTTTGTTTTTGCTTTATGGTTTTATGATGACGCGAGAATGAAAAATTCTTCTTTTTGCGCGTTTAGTTTTTCTACGTTTCGAGTTTTTGCTTGTATTCAAAATTTTCCACATTGCTGTACTTTCGCGAATCGTTCGTTGCTCAACTGTGGTAGCAGTTTGGCTGCTGTGGTCTCTTAGCAACCAACATCATCGTCATCGTGTCAGCCACATCAACTACATCATTACCCACAGCACACATTAAAACGTACACTAGCACAAAAATCTGAGCGCCGCGATTCGGCTTCTGTTCAGCTTGTGTGTGCGAGTGAGTGTGTGTGCGAATTTGTCTACCCGCGCGATTTCATGAATCTGGAAAAATTATTGAAAGGGGAAAACAAAGTAGAAATTTATTAGTTCGCTTCGATGCTCTTAGCAAACAAGTTGAAAGTTGACTGAATGTGTGTGCATGTGAGTGTGCGTCTGTGTGGCTGTGCATGTGAGTATACCTGGGTGGGTGGGTGTGCGAGGTGAATGTGTGGGAATGTGTGTATGTATTGGTGTGCATTTGATACGTTGCAGGAGTTGCATGTGGCATGTGGATGTGGTAAGGTAAGTTGTATTGTCAAATGCCTAATGGCTCGATTGGTGGAATGAGGTGAAAGACGATGAACGTGTTTTTCTGCATGTGTGTTTGTGTCTGGCCCCCACCGCTCTGTTGTTTGGCTTGTTAACTAGCTACTGCAGTTGAGTTGCTTTGCTGCATGTATGAGTCAGTGCTTAGGCGATTGTTTTTTGTTCCAAAGGTGTTCGTCGCATTTGTTTTGCCACCCGGCCACCACCAAATACATATGCATACATACATATGATGTACATATGTATTTACATACATACATGTTTGTCTTACACGTAAGCAGTGCACAATTGTTACCAAAGCTCCTGGGGCCAGCTGACCAGTTAGTTAATCTTGTCAACTGTACTCAATGCTTTTTAACGGTTTATTTGATACAATGCAGCTTCGACAATAAGTTTTGACAAGATAGTTTGTCCCCTTAGCCTTGGACTTATGTAAATTTGAGCCCATAGTATAGTTAGTATATGTATGTATACTGTGCATATAGTATGTGCAGTACATCCTTGTGTTTAAGTGTTAAACACTCCATAGTATTATTATAAATATTCCCAGATTTTGTTGGTTTCGAAAGCAAACTTGTTGCCTGTAAAAATAACCAATTTGTGTGTGTAAAGGTGGAGGGGGTCGACGGGGTGGTAATGTAATTATGCAATGATTGGATGATTGATTTATGTGGGCGGTTAATAGTTACGTACATATGTGTGTAGTCCGAGTATCTACGATTTAAACACATTTACTTTCAAGGCATCGACATACATATGTAAATGGGACTGGATTAACTTCATAATAAAATTCTATAGCCATAAATATTCAAAATAAGCGCAAGAAATACAAAGAAACAAACAATACTGCAACGATAATTGCATAAATTGCGCAACAAACAGTTATCTAGTCAAACTGGATATCATTCGTGTGCTGACACCAATTTAATTAATTAATTAATTTAATTAATTTAAATAATTGAACTAATCAATACATTTTCGCAAAAGATGACAAAATGCGAGCGACCATCAAAAAGGCAAAAAGAAACGACGAGAAAAAGAGCATGTTTGTGTATGTATGTGTATTTATGCATGTATGTGTGAATAATTTGAATGCTACAATAAACAAGAGTCATGCGAGGTGCGTGGGGCAGTGCACGGGCCCGAGATTGAGTTTTGAGGTGGCAGACAACAAACTATGTGTGGTGTATGTATATACGTATATAAATGTTGTATATACATACAACAATCACCAGCAACAGCAAAAACAGCAACTACGTCAACAAGAGCAACAACAACAAATGCGGCAAACTAGCCAGTCAGTCAACTAGCCAGTTTGAAAGCATCGACGACCCGGCCGAGTGCTGGGACTGTGCAACCGAACAGCAAACACGAAGTTCGGCGACACGAACAAGGCGCGAGGCCGCACACACACCTTTAATTTAATTGCCATCAATTATGGTAAAAAGATTAAGAAATCAAAACAAGCGCAAAATGTACAAAACATGAATAAGAAGAATGAGCAGTAAAATGAAACGAAATACGCTCACAAACACTCTCACATCAGATACTATACACGCATACACACAGATACAAAATCTGAAGAGGTGCACACGCATACAAGTTGCAAATTGCGAGTAATTGAGAAGATTAAAGTCAAGACAGACAGGCCTTCGTTGTTGGTTCGGCCAGGTAACAACGATGCCACTGATGACGATTGAAAAACGAATCGACTGACGAACGATTAAAAAACGTGAGCATATAACAGCACGAACATGACAACAGCAACAACAACAACAACAGCCTTAAGCCACTTAAAAGCCAACAACATATTGGCGTTGCTGTTGTAGCCAAAACAAGTTAAAAACACACAAAAAATAAAGAAAAAAAAAATCGAAGTCAACCTCAACGACGAGCACTGCAAACAGAGCGACATAAAATATGCAAATTTGTATGAAATTATGCAAAAATGTCTTAAATACATGTGCATGGCAGGCAAGCAAGCAACCAGTCAGGCGGTCAGGCAGACGCAGAGACACCAACAACAACCAACAAGAAAATGAGACTAATATACGTATGTATGTATGCATGTATGTGTTTATGTAAAGAAGAGCATCGCATCCCATCGCATCTTTGGTGAGTGAGTAAGTGAGCGCATTCAAAACGTTCCGTTGTGCACGAGAGAAAGCCATAATGACTTAACCAGCAAGCAACAAATGTGTGTCCAAATGAGAGCGATACTTGGAGGCAACGAAACAGAGAGCGAGAGAGAATTCGTGCGCGCATTGTCCCCAACAGAAACCGGGAAGGTAAACTGGCCAACTAACGAGCATGCGGGGGTGTGTGAACAACGTACCCAAAAGATATGAAAATCAAAACACTCACACACACTCACAGCAAAGGTGAAAAAAAATGTTCGCGCCAATATGAGGGGAGCCTAGTATAGTAACCATACATATGACTGTGCTGGTGTTTGTGTTGTGAATGAGCATTAAAAGTTGAGCGTGAAATGCCGTTTGATACCAATTTGCCACGAACGCCGCCACCGCAGAGCCACCGATTTAAATATACAACAACAGCAAAGTTACTGTTGGTGCTGGCTAATGGTGGTGGTGGGTAAAAGATGTGACAGCTGCTGTTAAGGCTGCCTGCGGTCCAAAAAAAAAATAGCACAGCACGCAAACCTCTGTATGTATTGCAAAATACACATAATAATAATAACAAAAACTAACAGTTTGTTGCGTTGAAAATATTTTGGCACATGCAATTTGAGGTCAAACGTTCTGCTCATTAACGACTTCTATATACCCTATCCATCTTCACTTTGTTAAACCCATCATGCATACCGAAAGGCATGTTAAAAACAAATTAGTTTAGTTATGATCATAAACTAAAAAGCTGTAGGTACTAAAAGCAAGCAACGATCTTGTATGAATTATGAATAATATTACAAGTAAATAAAAGATACATATTATTTTTGCCAAATTAATCAATAAAAATTGATTTGAAAATGGGAATTGTCTACACTATCTTTTCCAATTAATTTAAACTGTCGCCTAAACGAACATTTGTATATTATTTGTGATATTATTTGTTATCCAAACGATGACAAAGCAATTTGTTTTCTAGTTTTAAATTACTGTAAGCTTATCAATTTTCAGTTCCTAAATTTCATTAAATGTTTAATTTAATTATTATTCAATCATCTTTAGAAAAGTAGCCAAATCGATATTAACAAATTTGATCAAATTTTATGTGTTGCGGAGATAATTATTAATTAGGATTACGTTATTTATATTTACTAATTGTTTACAGCATTTTCTTTATTTTCTGTACTTCCATAATTCCGTCAATGTTAAGGCCCACCATGATCACTAAAGTAAGGGGCACATAACCTGACAACATTCAAACGTCGATATCCAGGGACGTTGCTTCCGAGTATAGTATGGCCCATTAATGAAGTGTGAAACAGCCTATCGTGTGCAAATTTGAATATGCGCAATTACCCGTTTTGCGCTTCAATGTTATTGCTGGCGTAGTTTCTCACACACGGACACATACATACACAGATTGGATTTTGAATTTGCCTTTTTGATCGGTAAAAATGGCGTCAAAAGCACACACAAAATATAAAATATTTATGTATAGTATTTCGTAATTATTCATCAACATCATCATCATCGGCAACGCGACAGCAGCCCAGCCAGCCAAACAACAACAACAAGAGTCCAACCGGCCACAACTAAATCGACAACAATACTAACAACAACAACAACAACAATATCGACACCAAGCATGGTTATAGTATGTATGTGTGTCGCGCAGTTGGACGTCCGAACAAGCAGGGCGGCCTGAGAGCAACTCGGGCCAATCGATTTAGCTGCTTTTCATTTCATTGTATAATTTATTAAAAGTTTAAAAAGCAACAACGCTAACGATCAGCTCAATTTTTAGTTATACGAACACTTGACGAATCGACTATATGTACAAGTATGTGCGTATATGCATATGTAAGTATAATGCTTATGCATGTGTGTGGGAGCGCACAATTTGATTTAAAATGAGCCGACAACAAAAACAATTAACTGTTGGTACTCACAACAGAGCACACATTAAATTTTATTTATTGATGCTGTGTTGCTGTTGTTTTTACTGTCCAAGTGTATGTGTGCGACCGACTACCGTTCGTTTTGTTTCCCACCGAGTTTTCATAATGGCAGTATGTATCTATAGATGGTAGTAAATATTAAAACGACGCAGATAAAATCGCATTTGCCGACATCAGTCAAACAAGTAACTGTATGGGTTGTACACATTCATATACTTGTATGTATACATACATACATACATACTTGTATGTATGCAAATCATTCGTTAGCTTTATTTTGCGCTTTAACTTGAACGTTTACTTAGCAAATCTAATTGACATAAGCTAGCAATTATTTCACAATTCGACGACGCTGCTACTCAACTACAGTAATTCTAAGCAACGACAATAAATGCTTCGACAAATGTATTTAATTTTTAATAGACTACGATTAGTGTTTTAGTAATTTCATGTACATAGTATGTTTGTTTGTATTGTATGATTTAGTATGACTGAGTATGTAATGAATTAGTTGAAATCAATGCCTACACTAGCCGACTGACTCATTGTCTCATCAAAAAAAAAATAGAATAAAAATAAAAATGAGCAATTGCGCCGCCGCCTATCTACGTTTGGCTTTTAATTACCTTTTGTTTTTGGTACGAAAAAAATTCGCTGCTCTAATATATCCAATAGTCGGCCATGGAGCGTCTTAAATGCCGACTGGGAGCGTTAGAGTTGATAAAATGTTTGCATTTTGTTACCAATTTGTGGGCATTTTGACCGCTTTTCGCACTGTTTTCAACTTTTTTGTGCTCTATTCAGTATTTTTGTTCGTTTTTTATTTTCGTTCAGTTATTTCTTGGTTTTTGCTTTGCTTTTGCATTCGCCTGCTTGGCGCGAGCTCTCTCAACAGCTCTCGCACAAAACAAACACACAAAACGGCGAGAAAAACACTCACACTCACGCACACACGCGCATCAAACGAAGCATTCTCACGCTCTTTTACTCTCTCGCGCCCGCGCGTATATATATGTTTTGCGTGTGTATATATGTATATACGTACGATGAGGAAAAATGCCTGCTTCTTCTTCACAAATCAGGTTTGCAACATTTCAATTCACATTTTAGCACAATTTTCTTTGTATTTTCATTAAAATTTCATCACCAAACACTGCTTTGCACACCTAAAAACATTTTTTGCTATGGTTTTTGAATTATTTTTGACATTTTTTGCGTTTTTTTCACGAAAATTTCGCAGCACTTCTGTGCAGCAGTCTGTGTAACTATGGAACGACCGCGGAACGCCGCTAAATGGAACATGCCTGAAAATACCACGCATTAAAATACCAAGCACTAACGCGTTCCGTTGAAGAGCAATATGTGCTCAGTTGGGCATTTCATCAGTAGAGGGCGCCACTGCTCGACATTGCCAACAAGCAATTGACATGCCTTCTAAAGTTCATTGCTCTAAATCGCGCAGCTTTTGTAAGCAATACATATTTAAATTGCATTTTTGAATCGTTTAGAAATTGGATTAATTTAGAATATGTATAGATGACTTTAGAAATCGTTTGAATAACCACAAATAGCTGTTTTGTTTTTCTTCTTTAACATGGGTAAAAACTTAAGGCTCAATTCGACAAGTGCGTTTCATTGCTCGACTTGAGGCACGAAGTAGAAATAAAGGATGCTAACAAAGGTTAAGACGTCAATTTACGCGAACCATGTCTGGAATCAAGCTCTACCAAGCAGGATAAGGCGACATTATTCCAAACATTGGAGGCGAAACTGACGGCAAAATTGAATGTACAGCCCAGTGTACGTAATCCTGAATTAGATGCATACGTTGGAGCCGTATTCAGAGTTCGAGTCGTATTTAAATTCGAAGCATTTGAAAGAACCCATAACTGAATCACACCGTCTGCCGCTGTTAAAAGACTTGCGGCCGAGGGCCACGCAAACAGATCGTAATTTAAGCTATTCAAAGCCTTTTCAAAATGAGCGAAATAAATCGGTAGTGGAGCAAGGGCCGCTCTCGCATTTAAAGGCCAAGCAAGAACGTTTCAAGCAACCTAACATCGACATGTCTATAAAGCAGAAAAAGCAACTCCTGACGAATATTCCATGTATAGAGGAAAGTTATCTTCATGACCGTCCAACAAAGCAAGAATTAAATGTGATCAGGAACCCATTCAAGAAGTCAAATCCCTGGCTGAACAAAACGTGGAATTGCACTCAAAATCAAAGCAGCAACATGAAGATCTTTTTCGTAGTCCCTATAAGCTGACAAAGCCGGACACGAAAATGCATCTCGACACAAGATTTTCAACGCAAGCAATGGTTGAATCGTCATCCAACACCAAATCTTTTAAATCCAATTTAAATCCAACACGAATAGAGAAATCATTCCTGGAGTCTATAATCAACATTCAAGATTTGGAGTCGTATATCCAATCAATAGAACTGACAAACAAACATCATGGAACCACTTCGGTGAAGTCTCAGGTAGATCAGACAACATCGTCGAATCCGCAGGTAGAACATTATAAATCCCTAGCAGAGCTAAGTGATAGTTCGTTCATCCATAAAGTCAAATCAGCCAAATAAGCTCCAAACGGGATGCATTTCTAAACCTAAATCTTGCTCAAACGTTTGTATCGAAGCCAAATCCGAAGCTGAAAGTCAACTCGCAGTTGAATGAGAGTTATTTGAACCATCCCCTAGGGCATAGAACTGTCTCGAATGTGAAGCCAAAGCTGCCAGAAGCCTGCCAGTCTCCTCTCGACCTGTCCAAATCGTTTCAGTCGCATTTAAATGTAGACCGACAGGTTTTTCTGAATCGCTGGCTAAACAAATCGATCAGGTTCATGAAGGTCCTCTGAGGCAGCCTAAAACGTCGGAGTCAACGGGGTCACGAAATAAGGTGAACATAATATCAAATGAGTTCCTACCTTTCAGGTAGATATACCTAAGCTGCTAGCAGATCTAAACTGTAAGTCAAATTTAGAACCGGAGGCAGAAAAAATTGAATTGGAGCCATTCAATCCAAACCTTCCATCACATTTAGAGCCGCCGATGCACATAAATGCAATGAAATCGGAAGAAGTAAGGACTCCTGACAAACCAATGGCAGACAAAAATCTACAATCCGAATCATCCGGAAGATAAACTGGAAAGGAAGGAACTCGAAAGCATCGATGATTTTGGCGACACGGTACAAAAGATGTTTGCTTTAAAATGTTTTTCAAAAAACTCGAAGGTACTGAGATCATCCGTCCGGAGAGCAATGGAGTTATTTAACACCCTTTTCCAGAAGTACACGATAAAGGTGGCCAGTGCCAAGGAGCGATCCAAGAGCTTGGTTATGCAGAAGGTGGCTCTCGGAAACTTCCCCCCTTTCCAATGAAGAACACTTTGTCGCACTTAGCAATTATTTTTAATACAATTTTAATAATACTATATTTTTTATGAATAATTTATTAATAATTTTTAATAACAAACCTTTTTCCTCTATACAGAAAATAAAAAGTGGATGTAATGATGTCTCCATAATTGTAATTATGGGCTCTAATGGAAGTAAATAAAATCAGACAAACAAAAATTTGTTAACAAAAATAAGTATAAAGATGAAATTCAGAAGACAAAAAATGAATAATTATAGGTTCTATGCAGCATGATCCACTCTATGAAGGCTGATATACTAGCTCTTAAAATTAAAAGTCTATAGGGAAAATCAATGAACAATGAAATTAAAGTGAATAAAGGCTTTTCACCGTTGACTCGAGAACTTGAGGGCGGAGAAACAAGGACTTCTTGAAACGTCTCGTCGCATACCCCATTTTTTATAAAGTAGCAATAGATTTGCAAGGTGTACAGAATTCTGCATAACTTAAAGGTGGGTTTTCAAGAAATAAGAATTATGACCAGTATAATTGCGCCGTAATTCCATTTAATCTAATGTGTGACCAAAGCATTGGTTGCAACGAATTCGTTTTCAAGTTCGTTTTGAAATTATTATTGTCAGTCAATCATTGCTGTTCGATTGAGCTGTTCTCCCAATGCTATTGCGTTATTTTCTGCCGCTGTGTGGTTTTCTCATTGCCACTGCAATGGAGGATGGTAAAAGCTTTGCGTCATCGACATACAATATGGCTAGCCTGGTGAGTGTGGAGGACCATTTACTGGAGCATTTGGGCGCATATGCAGCGGCCCTACAGCAAAAGATTTATCAAATTCGAATGTAAGTTCAATTCTTATACTGTATGTTTAGCACGAGTTGAAGAGTCTTCTTTGTGGACGTAGCGTCCTGAAGGATATGGATGTAGAGCATCAGAAAGCGGCTCTTGATCCAGTGGCATTTGTGTCAAATCCGCTCAACAGTTTTCCGCTCGTAAGGCGCATGCACCATGATGCAACCAAACTATTTCAGTTTTTTCAGCGTGAGCCAGGCGAAGGTAAGCCTCTTTCATACTCTCGTCTGTTTTGAATTTGTATTTGAATGTTATATTCAATTCCATTGCCGTACAGAGCATTTGAACTTCATTGCCAATTACGGTCTGAGTGATTATAATCAGGAAAATCTAGAAGAAGCTATAAGAGGGCTGCTGAGAATTAAAGAGACATATGAACTAAATGAGCGAGATATGAGTCGTGGGCTGCTATGGCACAAGCAATACGAGTAAGTTATATATGCAGATTTACTTCCAGCCCACTTCCAAGCGCCCTTCAAACCTCTTTTCTCCCATTTTGTATATTTGTGATTGTACTTCCAGTTCCACTCTAAGCCATCTTTCTCAACCTCTCATCCACATACGTCCAGTCTAACTTACGGTTTGTAGTCATGCTTCCAAGCATGGTTTTATTTGTGCATCCAGTCTTGGTTTCAACCAAACTTTAAACCATATTTCCAGGCGTGCTTACAGTTATACTTCCATTCGTGCTTCCAGTCATTCCATTTTCTTAGTTATACCTAAACCTTCCATTCATGTTATCATTCAGGCTTCCCTTTATGCTTCCATTCATACTTCCATTCATACTTCCAATCATACTTCCAATCATACTTCCATTCATACTTCCATTCATACTTCCATTCATGCTTCCAATTATACTTCCATTCATACTTCCAATCATACTTCCATTCTTACTTCCATTCTTACTTCCATTCATACTTCCACTCATACTTCCATTCACACTTGCATTCATACTTCCATTCATACTTCCATTCATACTTCCATTCATGCTTCCATTCACACTTCCATTCACACTTCCATTCATACTTCCATTCATACTTCCATTCATACTTCCAATCATACTTCCATTCATACTTCCATTCATACTTCCATTCGTACTTCCATTCACACTTCCATTCACACTTGCATTCATACTTCCATTCATACTTCCATTCATACTTCCATTCATGCTTCCATTCATACTTCCATTCATACTTCCATTCATACTTCCATTCATACTTCCATTCATACTTCCATTCATACTTCCATTCATACTTCCATTCTTACTTCCATTCATACTTCCAATCATACTTCCATTCATACTTCCATTCATACTTCCATTCATACTTCCATTCATACTTCCATTCTTACTTCCATTCATACTTCCATTCATACTTCCATTCATACTTCCATTCATACTTCCATTCATACTTCCATTCATACTTCCATTCATACTTCCATTCATACTTCCATTCATGCTTCCATTCACACTTCCATTCACACTTCCATTCATACTTCCATTCATACTTCCATTCACACTTCCAATCATACTTCCATTCATACTTCCATTCATACTTCCATTCACACTTGCATTCATACTTCCATTCATACTTCCATTCATACTTCCATTCATGCTTCCATTCACACTTCCATTCATACTTCCATTCATACTTCCATTCATACTTCCATTCATACTTCCATTCATACTTCCATTCATACTTCCATTCATACTTCCAATCATACTTCCATTCTTACTTCCATTCTTACTTCCATTCATGCGTACATAAATGCTTTCTATACTTCCATTCCAATGTTGTAACCCTACCATTCTATTTTCATTTCGTGCCCTGTTTCAAGGATTATCTTCTATCCCACATCCACCTTCTTGTAGAGTATTGTTTCAGGCCAATGTTTTCGATATTAATGCTTAAAACAGCTCGAAACTCAGCGCATTAGACTGTTTCGAAATGGCCCAGTACTTGTTTAAAATGGATAAGTGTAACGAATCATTCAAGTGGATACAGATAGGCCTGGAGCTGCACGATAAAACCCCGCAAGTCTTACACGAACTGCTTGGAACGGATCGTGCAAATATTTGGATGCAAATAGGCGCCCTGCATAGCGCGATGAGTAAGTACACCACAAACCCATATCAGATGGATTTATCATCCTTGCCTGCCTCTCTAGATGACGCAGATGGGGCAGCGATGGCGCTTAAAACCGCCATCAAGTACGGCTCGAACGAGCAACGGAAACAGGCAAAGGTATTCTCTCAAGGAATCGCGCACTACCATGCTCATCTGGAAAACTGTCGCCATCCGGGTACTCTGCCTGTGCGCTCTGAGCTCAAATGCCGCTACAATACTCTTACCACACCGTTTTTAAGGCTGGCACCACTCAAGCTCGAAGAACTGAGCCGCGATCCGTACTTGGTGCTCTACCACGACGTAGTCCAAGCCAGCCAGATGCTTCATATTAGACAACTGGCAGAGTCCCGTTTAAATCATTCAACTGTAGGCACTGGTCAGACGTTGGAAGGTCGTACATCCATGTCGGCTGGGCTGTCCCGAAACGAGACCCAACAGCTCCATCAGAGCATTATCGACATGACTGGCTTCGACATTACGAATAGTGAGGCCCTCTCAGTGTTGAACTATGGGATGGCTGGGCAATATATTTACCATCACGATTGCGGCTTCAACGAGAAGGAGGTAAGTAGTCACAATTTTTAATCTTTGTGACAGAAACAAGAGGGAACGCTATAGTCGAGCCAGCCCGACAGTGAAATACCCTGTAGCCATACCGGCTTCCGACACAGAGTTATGTGCGCCTCTAGCAGAAGCGAACTTGATACTGCAGCTTATTGGCGTAGTACTAAATTTTCCTGGAATTGACCGATTTAAATGAAATTGAAATCAAAAGTAGATAACGGTATATAGCTTGCTTGTGCCAAGTATTGACGAAATTCTCTAGCGGAAGAAGAGCCCCCTCTTCTCGGGGGGGAATCCAAAAAATAAAATAAGCTAGTCCTTTCTCGGACCTAGAAGAAATTGTATACCAAATTTGGTTATCCCAGCTTTTATACTTTTTGAGATCCTTGCGTTCATTCAGACGGACGGACGGACAGACGAACGGACATGTCTAGATCGATTTCTCTCGTCATGCTGATTCAGAATATATATACTTTATGGGGTACATACTTTGCTCAAACCTAATATACCCTTTTTTCCCTACGGGTATAGGATATAAAAGAGTATCACAGCACGTTAATGTTTATGGTTATCATTCCATATTCCAATTGCATCTTCCAATCAATAGGAATATTATTTGAAGTGTAACCTGGAACTGAATATGTTAACATATTGGCTTTGAAATGTGGCTCTGAAATGATGCGCTCGTCGCTTATTTCTAATCAAAGCATAATTACTATAACGATAAAGCTAAGCAATCCATAACCATGTGCTCATTACTACGTTAGTTTATTTAAAATCTTTAAGAATTCCAAACAGTTTTTGCAGCAACAATTTTTATTGAAACTTACTTTTCAAAACCAATTTGTAAAAACAGCACACAAACAAATTGTTTGGAAATGTTTTGCAGGTCTGACCACTGCCTTAGTTTTTCGACCAATTAATCGATAAATGCGGTTTTTAAATAAGCTATCGATAAGTTTCAAAACTGTAGTATTTTCTTACTCCCTAATACGCAGATGCCGCGCTCACATTTTCCAAAAGGTAATCGTTTGGCCACAGTACTTTTTTATGTAAGTTCTTTTTCACAGTTCTATATACTATATATCATTGATCAGATGTATCTAATTGCTTCGATAGCTAAGTGAAGTGGCGCTAGGCGGAGCGACTTCCTTTCCCGAGCTGAATATAAGCGTTGCTGCCAAGCCAGGCAATGCTCTCCTTTGGCACAATCTGGACAATGCAGGCAACTGTGATCCGCGCTCTCTGCACAGCGCCTGTCCCGTTATTCTGGGCTCTCGCTGGGGTAGGTTATTGGTTGTTACTCTCTCAGAAATTGCTTACCATTTCGTGCTCTCTTTCTCTCTCTCTCTCTCTCGCTCTCTGGTACAGTGGCCACCAAGTGGATCAACATACCGGATCAGTGGCGCACCAAGCCCTGTTTGAGGGAAAAGCCCAGCCCAATGAAATGAAATACGTTGGAAATTTCTTTCTCTTTTTTGTTGCGGTCATTGTAAATTTTTGCGATAATTTATTCAATAATTTTGTCTTTATTTATATTATTATGTTAATAAATTTATGCACTATTTTATAGTATTCGTGTTTATTTTATATGCAATGTAACATTATGCGCTGGAGCGCCAGCGTTTCGAGTTGCTGGCGAGCCTTCTCGCATTATCCTTACTGAGCGTTTTTTGTATTATTTTATTTCTTTTTTGGCAGTTGGGGGAACAACGGTTCGTGATACGTACGTAAATGATATCGGCACTGTGGGCGCACACCCACAGGCTTTGGCCATATGTATGTATGTACTTTATAGTATGTTGGTATATGTATTCCATTTTTCCAGTTTCACGCAAAACGAGTAATCAAAAATAAAAACACGCTACGAAATACAACAATACAGGCGGCTGAATGGAGAACAGGGTCTTGGGGGGTTTCACCAGTAGGAATATATATCTATATATATATATATATTTATATAAAGGCCAGCACTGCTCAATTTTGATATCACGCATGCCAGGCCAGTGGCCGGAGCCAGAGCCGGAGTCGGAGCAGCAGCAGCAGAGACAGCCACGCACAATTCGCGCAGCTGGGATGCCTGCAGGCGACCGCATTACGCGCCTCCTCCGGACCTGCAGGATGTTGCGGAAGAAGAAGAAGAACAAGGAGAGGAAGGGATAAATATTGGCTGAGTCTGCACTTAAAAAAACGTTGCTCCTTAAAAATGAAGTTAAATGCAAATTGAAAACATAATGTACTAAGAACAATAAATGAAAAACCTTTGTTGACAGAAAACAAAATTAATTGGGCTCTATAAAGTGCGTAACACTAGGAATGATAAAGAAACTTCCACAGTTGAAAATTAAAAATTCTATTACATATAACTATTTACACTTTTGTTTTTCAATATGAAAATGACATTTTTTAAATTAAAATTTTGAATTTAGACGAACATTCTGTTTTTAGGTGTAAACAATTTTCAGACTAGCATATTTCATTGATTTTGTTTGGCTAGGAATATCTCTGAGGACATTTGAACGTACGTGTATTGTTCAAAATCTGTTTCTCATGGTTATGGTTAGATTTTGGTTGAACAAACCATTACACATTATCCGGTTTCCTTTTAAATGTCGATCAATGGTGGAAACGCAAAAACAAATACAAGTATGTTTAAATGTAATTGAGGGGAAAATAATAAAAAGAATTCAAATAGAAATTAAAACCTATTTAATTTAAATAAAAATACTAAAACAAATGCATTTTTTAATATGCAGCGACATTTCTTTCAGTGCATGAATTAAATGCGAAAGTGCGAACAACCGCTTACCGCTAATAAAATTCAGTTGATCATCGTTGCTGGCTGAGGCGCCGGGATGTAGTTTGATTTCTGCAACAACGAGAACAACAAGAACAATGACAGCAATTACAACAATAATATCGCAGGAGAGTGCGGGTCGGAGATAAGGCACAGCATACCCACCATAGAGACGCAGAGTGCCCTCCGCACGGCCCAGCGAGTTTGTGCTGACGCAGTGGTAGGTTCCCACATCGGAAGGGGAAAAGGAACGGACCACGAGCAGCATGATGCCCCGATAGCCGTCGCGCTTCTCTGTGATGCCGTACTTGGGCCTTTGGGAACGGTGGGAATAAAAAGTGATTTCAATGTGAGCCAAAATGATGCTCGCTCTCTCTTTCTCTCTCTCACACACACATACCCGTCCAGTAGCATTTCGGGACCCGGCGAACCCGTCTCCAGGCTGGCTGTGGATATGCTGGCAAAGCCGCTAGACGTGCGTGCTCCTTTTAGCCAGTAGGAGACTGGGGAGGGAGAGGCCTCCACCTGGCACTCGAGCTGTACATCGGAGCCCAGTGGTGTGCCGAGCAATTGGCTGGGGGCGCGCACCATCGGCGCAACTGCAACAAGACAAGGCATTGAATCGATTTTATTTTTGGCAATATTTTATTCATTCCATTCCAGATCCATAGTCTCAAACATATCGAAACTTTTGGAAACTGTTTAAAATCTTGCTGGAAAATCGAAATAAAAAAGCATAATACTTAGAGTTACATTTGTTTTTCTATTTTTTTGTGTACAGCAAAAACTAGAATGACCGTCTTATTTATGAAATATTTTGAAGTTATTTTAACTAAAATTCCAGGAATTCCTACGCTTCCATGTTTCCTTAACAGTTTTTTCGTAATTATGATTGTTTTAAAACCCCTCTTCCCCCAAACTAGGACTGAATTTTAACTCAATATCGGGTTGAATTTATTCAATGCAAGCATTTATCTTTGTCTGCGCCGAAGCCTCATATACTTCACTGACCCTAAACATAAAACTTTAATCCTCTATGCTCATGGATCTCGAACTATCCTACTGTCTCCATACAATCTCAACTTGCATTAGAAAGCATTATTTTTATTGTGATATAAATCCATCAGACAGGGCTGCAAAGTTCTTAATATTCTAATCGGTTTCCATATCTTTAGAAATAAAGAAGTTTTTGATTTTATAAAAAAACTCTTTTGAAATCATATTATTTTCTACGTCAGCAATATAATAAGGTTATCTGACAAGGTCGACATTCTATATTATCTGCGTCCGTCAACATAAGTCTCGATGCAAAGTTGTATATATTCGATGGGTGTAAAAGGAGTTCTAAATCAAACAGATAGACGGATAAAGCGAGTTCGATTCGTTTTGCCGTGCTGGCTATATACTATAGTATTTAAAATATGAGGTCTTTCATTATTCCGTCAATGTAAGTAGCTTTCCGAAAGCAATATGCCGTTACACATTCAGTGAAAGAAGTAACTCTTTTATTTTACGATTGCTTTTTTTACTGAGATTCCTATAATTTTCAGGCATAAAATTTTCCAAGTCAGTTATTCTTAATTAAAAACCTATAATTCCATTAAAGCAAATTTGTTTTTGCAAATGGTTAGAGAAATGGGAAGTAATTTATGTTTTTATTTGATTTTCAAACTAATAATTTTGAAAAGATTTCTATATTCAGGATAAACCGACGAATTATGTAATTTTTGAGTTCTGAACAATCTAGTGGGGACTTACATTGCACGCTGAGAGAAACGCGTTTACTGACCGCCGGTGGGACATCGTTGGAGGCTATGCACAGATAGGCGCCCATTTGTCTACGCTCCAGCCGCAGCAGCTTCAGGGAGGAGCCGTTATAGGCTTCAACTGTAAATAGAGGCAGTTTGCAGCTGAAACTCGTTAGCTACGGAGGGTGCGGGGAAGGACTTACCCCTCATCAGCTCCCTGCTGCCTGGCTTGCGAATGAGTATCATTTCGCCATCTTCGCGTCGCCAGATGACGCGTGGCTGCGGATTTCCGGTGGCCTTGCACACTAGCGTAGCATCCTCGCCCTCCTGCACGGCCAAATCGGCCGACGACTCTTCGTTGATGATGTCTGGCGGAACTGCAAGGGATCAGTTGAGTATATTATAGATATACTTTGTAGGTATTTAGTTATGTTTTAAGGCGCACCTTGTACATCGATACAGCCGACCTGTTTCTTCATGGGACTCGTGTTTATTTGGCACATGTAACAGCCTCGATCGCTCTCCCGCAGCTTGCTGATCTTCAGCTTCCACGTGTGCATATCCTGGTGCATGACACTGATCCTTGCATTATGTGTCACCACACGGCCCTGCAGTGCCAACACCGTCTGGTCGGAGGCACGCAGCCAGCCCACCTGAAAAGCGGAAGCACGCATTAGCAGAGTTTAGGGACGCTAACAAATTAAATTAAATTAAATAAGTTTATTAATATATTATAACGATTTAATTGGCTTGACATCAATACATTTGATAGTAAACAGAGTTATTTTTCTTATAACTTGAAAGCCATAAAATAATTTCTCGTAGTTATATCTGAAAAGCAAGATATTCAAGCGACAAATATCTATAATCCTTACTTATTTTTGTTTTATTTAAGAAATACATTTTACGCGCTTCTATCATAAATTACTCTGAAAAGCAATTAGTCCAAAAAAAAAAATATCAACGGCCGCTAATGGATTGAACAAACAACTCTGTGATATGTTTAACAAACTGCTATATTAAAGAAATGTTGCAAATAAATTATTTGGGTTGTGAGTTTACCAAAAACAATAAATAATCTTTTGCTTAACAAACACATTATCCATTGGCATTATTCCCTCAAATGTATATATAAATAAATACACGTTATTACGAAAACTGCAAGTAAAAATATAGAAAACAAGATGACGTAAATAAAACTTTATTAATTAAATATTAAAACCAATTAAGTGGATTTACAAATGGTGTTATTTTAACAGTGCCATGTTTTAATGAAGTTTCAAATATGAAAGGTTTTAATTTTTCTTAAAAAATGCACATTTTTATTCAGAATTCGAAGTCATTAAATCAATATGAAGAGAATACTAATATTCTACAAAATTAATTCAAAATCAAAATCTTAGAATTTCTTTAATATGAAAAGTTATTTTTATTTTCTTGAATGTTAAAGCTTTGCTTTGAAAACTCTAATAAATCAATTGCAAATAAATCAAACAAGAATAATTTTAAAAGCTCGTTCGAAAAGCATGTAAACAAACCAACAAGAGTCCGAAAAAGATTAAATAAATTAAACTAAATTAAAATATACCTTTAGGAGTATTTATTCCACCATTTAGAACCTTTTTATTCTGAACTAGAGTTGGAAAAATGATGTGTCTACATACAATTTTGCGTTGTAAGTTAATTTTAATTTAACTAATTAATAATTGTTTTAAAATATTTTTTTTCCCCGCCAACTAAAAATGTTATTTCTGGTTCAACTTTATTTGATTTTCATCCCACTCAATTCACGTATTAAATTTATATTAATAGCATATAAAAATAGTTTTCAAAATGAAGTAAAAAGCTAAGTTGGTATTCAATATCAGCAACAGAAAACATTATTTTGCTTAGTTTAAATAAAGCTATTAATTATAAATGGACAATTTGTTGGCATTTCTGATCCTTCTACTCACCTTATTCTTGCCCAGATTTCGCACTGAGCAGGCGAGTATTGCCTCCCGTCCAGCCGGATATGTGACATTGTTGATGGTGCCTATAAATTCTGGATCTGGATCCAGCTGCGAGTTGGACTCTGTGAAATATTAAAATGGATAAATAAATGGCTGACCAGATAGATAGATGTCTCTAATCAAATGAGGGAAATAACTCACCGTGCTGATTTTGTGCGATGCCATCAATCAATCGAGCGGTCATTATTAATATGACAACAAGCGCTGCATTTAAATTCAGAGACACGTTCCGATTCTCCATATTGTGGCCTGTTTTTGTGTGGCAATTGGGTTTTTATTTTTGTGTATTGCCACTTTTAAGTTGCAATCACAATTGCGGCCTCTGTTTTGTCACTGTTGCTGCCGATGCTGATGCCGCTGCGGCTTCCGTTGTTGCTGTTGCTGTTGGTGTTGCTGTCGCTGTTGTTGTGATTTTTATGGGTATTTTTCGGTTGCAGCAATTTCTATTTCTATTTGCATTTGAATTTCTATTTTTCGTCAACCCTCTCGGTGCGTTGTTTGTGCAAAGTTTTTCAAGGGGCTTTCACTTCAATGCATTTCAAATCGTCATTGACATCTGCAAAATAAAGGCAAAACATCAAAATTCGTTTAGAATTTATAACATGGCATACACACAGCTGTTCAATTTAAGTGCTGCACCAGCACCAACACCAACAATAACAAAAGCAAAAACAAGAACAACAACGAAAGCGTGACCCTTCACACCATGGCTGGATTTACTTGATTATCTGAGCAACAGAATTTCGCGCTGCTTGCCTGCTTTTAGGCGCCTTCAATATGAAAGGCCAGCCAAGTAAACTACATAGATGAAGACGAAGACGCGGCTGGCAACTAACGACTGAGCTATGGCTGCAAAGTCTCAGATCCAGACCGAGAGCCAGAGTCAAAGTCTGAGTCTGACACTGAGGCTCGTAGCTCAGCTGTGTGCCACACAAAGCAAAAGGCAAATGCAATTTTCAACACAAACAAAAATTTATGAGGGGCCCGGGTCTATGGCGCTTGTTTGCGCAGCCCTTCTTTATGAAGAAATTGTAATAAAAGAAAGCGGCGGCAAAAGGTTAAAGCAGGCCGCATGCCAGCGCAAAAAAAGCTGAAAAAAAATAAAATAAAAAGAACAAGAAAAGGTGCAAAATATGAATGTAAATATTAAAAAAGTTTCTAGGCACCAAAACTAACGAGGTGTTCGCTCATTTGCTTTGCCAGCTCGCAACACAACCAGTCCAACCAGAGCCCCCGCCCCAGCCCCAATACTACCATCGCTATCTCCACCTCCACCTCCAGCTCTCCATCTCTCCACAGGCTGAGCCACAGCCTCAGAAGTCGGCCCGGTTCGGTGCATTTCGAAGCGCGGTAATTTAATTTGTGTGTGAAATTGAGCGCTCGCGTAATAGTAAATTTGCACTAAACCAGTTAGTAAGCTGTCGGGATGTGGATGTTTTGGACAGGAGGAGGGTGGGGGGTGGCGGGAAGGCCGGCTGGGGAGTAGCGGCTCTGTCGCAGCAAACTTTTGACGAGGTGTCAATGCGATGCCATGGGCGGATATGCACTGAATACGACTGGGCGTTACTTCGGCATGAGTGCGAGTTTCAAGTTGCAACTTCAAAGAGGGGGTGCGGGGCAGGCGGATATAAACTATGTATGTAGGTACATGATGCGCCTTGTGTGCTGCAGTCTCTAGCCAAATGACACACCCAATAACAATCCTAAGTCTTGTTTACAGTTTACAAATTTCAAAAAAGTCCTCCATAAGCCAGAAGATGGGAAATGGAATATTTCAAGAACATTCTAGTACCCTCCGACTAAACATTTATGCGATGCATGGCTCATATACTTGTATGTTCACATTCTGAGCGAATGAATGCAATGCTGAAAGCAAAACTATTCGATAATTAATGTACTTGTATTGAACGCCATTAATCTTATATACTTATATATAAAGTTCGAAATAGAAACAGAAGAGTTAGAAGGAAGTTTTTTCGGTTCGATTTGCCAATCCGTTTGCGAATAAAGCCCAACTTGATGCCCGATTCATGAACAATACCTCTGTGGACCACTTGTGGAGTGGAGTGGACCACTTGTGGAGTGGAGTGGGTGTCTAACTAATGCATCACAATCAATTAACAAAAGATTAAACATAATTTCCATTAAATAGAGCCTGCATTTAAAATCACATATGTGTATAATACGATTTAAAAATTAATGCATCTAACAAAGAAAAGAAGCAATAATTAATATATTATTAAATAAAAGTAATGGCAAGAACAATTTTTTTTTTCGATTTAATCTTCTGCAACTATTAAAAAATTGAAACAGCACAGGTTCGCAATAGAACGTTTTATAGTTTTCAAAGGAGCTTTGAATTACCAAGTTTCCGGAATGACTTTTCGAAAAGTAGAAGCATATATTATTACTACTAAGATATACTAATCCCTAATACTAACCAATTAATACTACCGTTACTTAATAATACACGTTTTTTATGCTGTCGATGGAAAATGGAAAATCAATACAATAGAGAACTCAGGCTAAATAAAACTAAAGAAATAAAAAAGCGTATAAAAATGATAAAAATGTCTAATAAAGAATCCGACTCGGTGGGGGAATTTTATTTGCCAAACGCCCAGCAAAGAGTAGTCAGATACGTTATTAGATCTGACAAAGAAGAAGTGAAGATGTAAAAATACCAATAAAAGGTAAAAGAAAACACATTAAGATTAAAATACTTAAATAATATATGATACAAAATAATTAAAAATTAAAGGAGAAGGTATGCAAATATTTGAATTTTAAAGACACTTTGCCTGACACCTTTCATTAGGTCGCCTGCCAAGTTTGCAAGATGCTTTACCCTAGAAACACTTTCGGTATTTTTCTTACATCTAAGAAGTTTTCTGTGCATTAAAGTCTAATATCTTTTGCATGATTTCGACTCAGGGAAATGTAGAGTACTCTCTCTTTCCAAGCATAATCAGGCCAAAATTAATGAAAACTGTCTATGACACAAAATTGAAGGTAACGCACGCTTTTTTCATTCTATGCACTATATGTTTAGTATATGATCCGATTTGTGGTCGCAAAAGCTCGTCATTTTATACTAAAGTGGGAAATACTTTCTTTTTTGTTAGAGGTTCGCTTTCGCATAAGTTTAATCGCCCGTAAATATATATTTAAATAATGTCTTATGCAGGTCAAATGGTTAAAAATTGATCGGAAGGTGTATTTTCAAAATGCATATTTACAATTTCTTTTTTTGCATCGAAATTGCTGCCCTTTTTGTAAATTTCGATGTCAGCTTTCGTCAACTTTATCTATTATATCCCACTGCCAGATTTAAGCAATTTCCATAATAATATATACTATTGGGAATAATCCACACACACATAAACCTAAGTCCCTTATTCACTTATAATTTTTTTTTTGAAAATTCCTTTATGCACCCATTTGCTAGTAGTTTCCCAAAAAGATATGCCATTGCAAATCTGCAAAATGATGACAAAATCCCTAAAAGCAAGGGTGTGCACACACACACCCACACACACACACGCACATACAGACGCACGAAAGTCCTTTTTCGAACTTTGTGTGAAAACATGGCCCAACACATGTGAGCATTAAGCCCATATGAGTTACATATGTATGGAATCTTATCGCGGACAAGCGTACGCTTCTCTTTTCCCGCTTCACGCTTAAGGCGACTAAAAATAAAAAAGAAGAAGAAAAAAGTCGAATATGAAGCAGAGCCCTTGTGCCCAGTTCAATGGAGTTATCACTAAAAGTGTTCAACAAAAGTAAAACCAATATACGAGAAATGCGTTTTACAAACTCCCCAAAGCTATTCCAAAAACAACTTTCTACTTTTTTTCGCTGTTGTTGTTGTTGCTATTGCTATTGCTGTTGTTGTTTTTTTTTTGTTCCGAAAACTCTTCTATGCCTTTGGTTGTGTGGCATGTGTGGGGGCCGGCTGGCAAATAAAAGCCAAGCGCTATGCAAACCAAATAAACTCGAGCGTTTATAAACGCAGCCACACTCACGCACACACATAAGCAAAACTCTTGCCCACACACACACACACACACAAACAACGTGCGCGCGCGCTGGGGCACACATGCATATGTATGTAGAGTAACTGTAACAGGCGGCGGCAGGCAGCGAAGCCGGCAAGTAGGCAACAGTCTTTTAGTTGCTCAATTTCAGTTTCACACTTCCGTCGGCTCTGCCGCTTCCCATACACACACAGACACACACACATGCACACGCACACTCTTACACATATGCATATGCAGGCGGTTGGTGGTCGGATACGTCTTTTCCTTGTTCTTCGTCTTTAGCACTGCTGCTTCTTTCTTTTTATTTTTCTGCTTGTCTGTCTGGCGGCTGCTCTTAGTTTAAACATAAATGTGTGTGTGTTTGCATGTGTGTGTGCGTGTGTGCGCGTGTTTGTGTGCACCGCTGCAGGCGTAAAAACGTGTGGCGTACAATTTGCGAAACAACAAAAATAACAACGACGTCGTAGAGTGCGAAAAAAGACATGCAACAACAATTAAACTTTCAAAGAAGCAGAAACGGCAACGACGACGGCGACGGCGACGGCGAGAGACGACAGTGATGACGACGCCAGTGGCTGGGGCAGTGGCAGTGGCAGCGGCAATGAGAGGGGGCGGCAATGCGGGGACGGTCTACACGGAAAAAGTAAACCGAGTAAAAGTTGTTAACGGGGCATAAAAAAATGAAAGAAAATACACATGAAACTTGTGGCAATGGGGGCCAAGAAGAAGGGCCCAGGCTGCAGCATGGACGCAACTAACGTACAGTGGTTGAAAATCCATTGCCATCAGTAGACAAATTTTTAGAAATATCTCATTGAAAAATCAATTGAAAAGGATAATTACGCTGAAGTGGAACAGAAGAGACAGAGCTTTGTCTACGAGTTTTAACTTGAATTTATAAATACCTTTAAAGTATGTATGAATTATGCAACCACAATCGCACAACTCTTGAACTTTTATTTTTAACACACAAAAAATGAATTTCAATGTTGATACAAAATAATTTGAATTAACGACATGAAAAAGTGCGATGTGTGCTTTTGAAGTAGCACCGTGAACTCTTGATTTTTATTTTTAACAAAAAATAAATATTAATGTTGATATAAAAAAATATGTGTTTACAAAAAGAAAAAGTGTGATGTGTGCTTTTAAAGTATCAACGTGAATGTTTTTTCTTGATATAGTCCTTTGTTTTGTTAGATAGCCGATAATTTGTCAGGCATCCCTTAGGTATGGTGACGAACGTACTTATAAAACATTTAGTTTCTTGTAAAATATGTTGATTTTATATTTTTGATTTTTTCTCGTAATTCCAAAGTTGCCAAATTCCAAAATAAACCAAACTTTGCACACGTAATTAATATAGGTATAGAGTATTTCACTGTCGGCCTTACACGACTGTAGCAGTCTCTCTGGTTTTTTCTTGCATTCATAAGCAAACGCTACCTGGTTGGAAACGCTTTTCAGCGCACTCAACTGTTTCAATAATTAATAACAACACTTAGT